ATATCACAACGACAGCTATGTTGCGGTTGACTAGGATGGCACAGTCTAACGAAAATCAGAGAATTAGATCATATAATAAATACTTCAGATCACGAACAAAAATTTCTCTGAAGTAAAGTAAATTTTTACACAATTATAGGTCGTCAAATGCCACAGTCATAGTTTCGTGATTGTTAAAATCGCCTCGGAGGAAGCGATAGTCTATGTACGAGCACACAATTTCAGAAATGCCGTTTACTGCGATGGTGATATTGGCAACAATTATCACACTGCTAAAAGTAAGGGCGAGCCGTGTTAGATGACTCAATGAAAACATGTAAATGACACTGTATGCCGTACATATACCGAGTTCGCGTTTGCGTACGCATATGTTAAATCGTATGCTTCGAGGTGTGAAGCGCCAATGAAGAAAGTGAACAGCGCGCGCGTCCCGACGAAAGCGAGATGCAGTAGGCTTGTCCTGGCATGATAATGCTAGAAAACCGTAATAATAACAGTGGCCGTCGTCATAATAAAAATGTATCCACCGCGTCCAACAGCTGCCCACTCAGCAAATGCTTTTCGTGGCACGTGTTACTACTACTCTGAGCAAATAGATGTGTTGATGGTTATTTTTCAATCGCTTGTGCGACCGCTCGTTCTCCAGCTGCCAATCAAACTACCGTATATGTTGTAAGGTTCTTGTGAGAGAAGGCTAGGCCCAGTGACTGTTGATAAATTTTTGCCAGACAACGAGATCGCTGATGGGCCGAAGCGACGGCCGAGATTCACGCTACGGCCCCCAGCTGTCATACCTCCACGCGGCTATCGTGAAGCCCTGCGCATTCGTCGAGTTGTCCGTTCGCAGTGGTTGAGATGCCTTCTTTTAGCGTAAAAAGTCATCTATCATTGCACTGATTTTCGCCATGATTGTGATAAAGGAATGGAGAAGCACGTCACTGTGTACACATATATATATTCTATTCCGCTTCTCGTTAGTGATTACCGGTAGGCCTCGTTCGCTTTGTGTCGGCGTGTGGGGAATGGGGTAGTGGCAACAGACCGACAGCCTACTACGTGATTTTACGTCACTGTTTCTGTGTTGGGGCCGCGCACAGCCCAGTGGGGCGAATCTTTGATGTTGATTGCTGCATCGTGCATTTTCGACATCAGATGAGACGTAAGCTATTCGTTTCTTGTTCACAACCTTGTCTTCTGGTGAGCGTAGTCCTGTGCGCAAGATTGAGCTTCTAGACTATCTCGTGGTTGAGTGATGAATTTGTAACGCTCAACGGAACCTTCAGATTTGACCCTGCGTACAGGCTGCACCCGCGCACCCACATACAGGGCCTAAGCTGCATCACAACGCTAGTACTGACAGTGATCAGGGAGCCGATTTCGCTGCCACCGGTGTGGGATGGTATGGCCGACTTCAGACTGTAATATTAGATTATAGTAGATAAGTACATTGTGATCTTTCTGTAAGCATGCCCCCGCAATGCCGTTCCAAAAATCCCAGCCGACTATGTCGCTTGCGTATTGCTATTATTATCATGTTACTATTATCAATACTGTATCATTGTTGGAGACGAACGCTGCAAGCTAGCGAGTGCTTGACGAAACCCAAACCAATCGTCTTTTGATACCTCTCAATCATACGAGTCGATTTGGAATCATATGTAAATAAAACAAGGGGTGGCTTTCCGTTTATTCAAGTTACGTACACGGTATATATATCGTGGCAATATGCGACGCACGTTGTTGACACCGGTGCTCGGTGTTTAGCCTATAACTTCCGCAATTGATTTCGGATCGATGCAGCTATAATTACATAATAACCTTTGCGCTGAACGACGATAAACATTCCTCTCGAAGAGAACAACACTTAGCTTACTCAATAAAAAAAATTCCCGGATTTACATTGCGTGTAGAGGATGCTACAACAAGAAAGCTTGACGACAAAAGCGAACAAATGAAAATGGAACGTTCTAACTTCGGCGTGGAAGTTCTGTTGAACGCAACTAAAACAGGCCTTTATTTCATGTAGAGATTTTTAGCAGCCTTTTCGTACACGCGGAGAGTTTTCCTGACTTCCTGCTTCGTCAGCAGCGACTGCCAGCTGTGTATATCCTGGTACCTAATAGTTAAATCGGATGAGTTATGCCTAAACAAACTGATCACTGAAGTACCTGTTAAATTTTGGACCGGCACACCGAAGCATGTGAGCTGAAGAATAAAGCAGGGTCTCTGGAAAGGGACCAGTTATTACTGTGATCGGAAGCCGCCAGACCCAATAAGCCGTCCAAATATTAAAGACGTTACGGCAGGATTGTACGGCGCTGAGCAAAGTAAATAGTAAATTATAAAATATGAAAAAGAAAAGCAAAAACAAATCGTTTTCTACCTAAGTAACGACCTATTGAACGCATGAAAGCTGGCTTCCGATTCTGAGGTGTGGACTCTTAAATTGCAGTATGATCTGTACTTTGCTACAGATTCGTTTGTCCTTCTTCGCGTGTTAGCAGATGTAGCCATTCTGTTAAACAAGCGATGCCGACAACGATGCTCATCATTTTAAAAGAATATGTTCAGTGACTACCGTAGTCTTTGTTCAAGCAGTTCCCGATATACCTGTCTAGAAATGCAAACGAAATTGGCCGGTTAGGATTTACCTGTCCTAGGTATTGGAGCCGGCCACGTTTCTGTTTTATTATGTGAGGTTTCCCCGTATCATTGCGGTTAAGTTGCACTTCTTTTTTTTTTTCTATGTTTAGCTGGCAAAGTTATTACATGTCACTATCAGATATGTGTGCAACTTCCATGGCCGTATATATGAAGCATATATGTGCATATATAAAGTTAGGATCAAGCGTCCATTCAGGACAGCTCCAATACGATACGCAACATTGCACTGGCCCTGCTTTTTGGTTATGCGAGTCTACCTCTGTTGACTCTACGCGACTACGTAAGTAATCGAAAAGCAGTGATCATACGATGTGCAATTGATAAGATATTATACTGGCTACGTCAATAGCGTTTTTATCAGGATACGCAGCCAATACGTAATAGTGCTAGGTAAAACTTACTCAACAGCTCTAGCAGCGCGACGGATTTCGCATCCTGTCAAGAAAACAATGTTGAATAGCTTTACTACGAATAACTGACATTGGTGCGGCCAAATTACGAAGTTACTATGACCCATTTGGGTAGCCTGGTATCTACGAGACTAAGTTTTGCCCTATTACAGGACAACTATGCATGTAACAGGATAGTTATACAAGTACCATGTCCCCTCGACCTCTTCTCGTCAATTTTATGACATCTAGGGCCACATCTGAGGCCTCACTCAGAAAGGACGGAGGAAAGAATCGTCGTGCTAAAGCGACATTTTATCCTGTGTCATCTTGCAGCGTTCCGCTATTTCCGAAACGGATGCAAATGTTTCATTCAAAGCACGTTTGCTGGCTATTGCTAGAGGCGTCATATATCCATATACAATGCTGCCAGTGAGACTCGTCCATTTATACAGACAGCCGCAAACGGGCACCGGCACTTCAGTCAGAAGATGCCTATATGTTACTCAGCCGTCTCTATTGTTGCAGGTCGAGTGTTTGATTATACCGTAAGTGTAAATATAATTGAAACATATCGGGACATAGGGTTGTAGTGGAAGCCTTCGTGCAAATTCGAAAAATGTGCAGACATTTTATGGCCATTGTTAAATGAGGATATGGCTTGTTTGACAAGTCTGTGATTAATCCGTGTTCCATAATTTTTGAACAATCAACATAGTTAATCATCGATAGATTATAATTAAAATCGCTTGTTGTTGCGTGATTGACAGCCCAGACCCAAATAGCCGATATCAACGCGCTAACTACTTCCGCTTGTCCGCGTTAGATTAAACGGAGTACTATTCAATGATGACATACCGCGTTACGCTGTTAGTTGTAATATCTCGTTCACGCTATATCACACACTGTTTCTATGAAAGCATTAAGTTACGCGTTAGAGTAGGCCCCTGGCCCTTCATACGTTCAGCTCTAACCAGTCTGCCTGCTTCCTAATTGAACTAGGTATGTGACCAAGCTTATTTATTTATTATCACCCTGCTAAGTATTTTGATTGTTTATGTAGGAGTGTTCATAACTAACCTATGGAAATCGTTTTTTTTTGTTATTTTTTAGGGTTTGGTGGACTCTGACGGGCAATTATGGCAACATTATGCCCATTGACTGGTCAAAGAGCTACGCGAGAAAGATGCAACTAGACGCGCTCAACATAAACGAACAGTAAGCTTTTTATCTTATTAGTTAAAAACACGTTTCGTCCGACGCTACAAACAACCGTACGACCGACATATCTCCGTAATAGGTATTCCAACGTGATTCGTTACTAGAAACAATGGTCGTTTTATTACATCTACTTGAAACATTGATGTTTTCACCTAAATTAGACTCTAGCACTAGTCGTGTCTTAACGTCTGAGTAAGTACGAACTAGATCCTTAATTTCAAATCATTTCACTGTACGTTGTTCGCGTATTTTTATTAACTCATTCATTCAGATATAATGACTGTCAGACGCTGCGTCACAGCACTGACTCTTCCGATGAGGAAGACGTGGATCGCGATCTCGATCTTCATTCGCTAATTTTGAGCAGCCTTACGTCCGAGCCACCCGCTCCCGTACAATCCGCGGATGAGGTCATTCGCCAAATCGAAGATATTATGGCTGTAAGTACTTCAAGCTCGGCTGGAAGCGTTCTCAGAATAAACATCTTTGCGTTTGTGCACGTCAACATAATAATCAGCTATTACGACTCACCACTGCCATTCGTCTACCTTAAATCTGGCTTCAACATTAAGATGAATGTACACCATTCAGCAGCATAGGACCTAAGCTAGGGTTGGAACAAGACGAAGGGACTGGCTATAGGGGAATAGGAATATGAAAGGGACAGCATGCGAACATCGGTTATACTACGTTACTACAAACATAGTATAACCGATAGGGCAGCGCAGGGACCAGGCCGAGTTACCTTTACTGTTGAGTGTGGTGTGGTCAGCTCCAACACTTTCGTCGTCGCACCGAAGTCGACTTACCAGGCCCATTGCTCTGTTGTAGGCAAGACAACGAGGAGATTTAGTCTGGCCGTCTCGTCAATAACCATCCGTAGCTTATCGTTAAACAGTGCTCCTTCGTTCGTTGAAGCTGTGTTAGTATTTAATGTTTAAACAATGAACGCATTGCGTTTACTCGTCTGGCAATATCGTTGAGTCGTTACTAGTACCTAGCGCCTATATGTGCCCTGTATATCCAAGCAGCTGGAACAGCGTATTGGCACCCATAACGGCAGATTTCTGTAATAGCTAGTATCAGTGTATGTACTCGGTGTCCAGCTAAATCAACCGAAATCGAATGGTATGAATCATCAATTAACTTCATGTATATTTATGGTTCGATTGAATGAAAGAAGCTATTCAAGTGAAGATCATCTTCTGCTAACGTTAGCTTTAACCAGTGGACGCCTATCAGGGATCCTATTAGACGATAATCAATGCGTTGGAGGTAAACGTTTGATCCGAGGCTATATAGGAAATAGGCATTTTGACTACAGCGAGAAGAGCGAGTGTACGTGCTGGTATGGTGTTGATATTCCCGCTAGATACGTTCCAACTAACATATACATATATATATATATATATAACGCCGTACGGGTATCGCCAATTAAATATTAGATATCAGCTAGGCTTCACTATTATACATTTCGTATAGTATATAGTAGTTTGTCCACTCAGCCTTTTCATCGTCTGATCTGGTTATTACTTTTGTCAATTCGCAGTTAATGAAACTTAACTCATAGACACCATTGCACAAGATTAGCTAGATTTTTTTGTTTATACGTACCAGACATTTACTTGCGATGCTGATTGAAAACAAAATGTATTCTATCGTACATAACCTTATACCGTTCATTTTGTCTCCTCGTCCGTTTATTAGGAGAGCTGTTCATCAGATGACGGAATTGCTTCCGGGGAGACGACTCCGGTAAACACTCCCGGCGATCGAGACAGCCATAGCCCAGCGCAAGCATGCATTCAACCATCAGCGGCCTGTGGTGAGACCTCGCTGAGGGCCCAAATCGCCGGACTGATCCGTTCCGACCGACTGCGCAGCCTCAGCATTGCAGAACTCGTTGAAGTATACAGCGCTCTTGAGCGCGAGGTGCAGTCGCTATCGGAGACGCTGGTGGCCGAGCTCGCGCAGCGGGATGAGCTTGACTTTGAGAAGGAGACCAAAAACACGTTCATTTCGCTGCTACTGACAGTGCAGAACAAGCGACGCCAGTTCACCATCGATCGCAAACGTGGACGAGGCCATACTATCGTCAACGGAGAGCCGAAAGTGAGTGGCTCCGATGGCTGGTTGAATTCCTATGCTAGGCCATATAGGCACACTGAAAAGAAAGGTCACGCTAGGGAGTTGATTTAGAGGAACTCGAATATCGTACTATTCGGAATTGTATTTCGTTCAAATTGTCCATATTCTGCCCACAGAGCATTTTATCAATGAATCAGTTGGCAATAAAGCTAATATTTTAGTAAAGGGCTCGCGCGTGCGGTGGTAAGACCACTTACTACCGAAGTACGCCCACAAACATATTACTATGACGCAGCCCAAGGTGCAGCACGGTATATTGATGGTATTTGCACTTGTCGCTGTGTTTGTGTGGGTTTTCTGAACACGTTTTCGTTTTTTAGTATTTGACCACAGTAATTCCGTACAATCCTGCGGTGGGCTCTCGGGTGTCGGTCTCCGAACTGCAAATTCTCATCAAGATTCTGCACGCGATCAACGACGACTCACCTACCGTGCCTACTCTTCTCACCGATTACATCCTCAAAGGTACGATGGTTCTCTGAGCTCTGAGGTGATCAACTGATGGTATTGCATATGATGATGAGCAGGTGCCGCAAATGTAAAGTGCTACAACCTCCACTATCACCGCTACAACATCTCGTACCACAACTTCTTCTACTTCTTCCGCGTCTTCTTCTTCTCTTCCTCCTACAACAACAGCAGCGGCGGCAGCAGCAGTAGCATCAAGAACAACTGCAACAGCAACATCAGAGAACACTAATATCCGAGTTGAGGAATCGGCCGTATTGATACCCTTGGTCTGTGTAGGACCAGATGGCATAAAGTGTCGACGCTCGTTACGGGAAGGCGGAAAAGGGTGTTATTGAAGCGAAGGAGCTAACAAGCGACTATACCTTAAGTGCCCATCGTCACCACCTGAACCTACCCTAATCTAAAGCTAAAGTCAAAAGGGCCGCCTCAGGAAAAGAAAAGTATTCTGTTGTCTAGTTTCTCTCTAGATGTTTTGCGCGAGCGCTGTGTTAATACAAATGCAAGATCGCAGATACTACAATCACTAGTAACACGCCGATGTGTGAGCATCACAGTTTAACTTAGAACAGGCCATTCATTGTAGTAGATAGGTTTCTCTCTTCAAAATCAACGCGATTCGTAACTTGTCTGACCACGAACACGTTCAACAAGTTGTACTTCTTCAACTACTACTGCTGATGCTGCTGCTGTACCAACAGCCACTGGTCTTCTGCAGCTGAAGCAGCAACTGCTAACCAACCTAATCGATCGGAAAGAGAAAAAGAGAGAGCAGGCGTACGGCGTCAACGAAGGCGAGTGACATTTTCTGTCTACCCGCTCTCCAAAGCTGTCCCGACTTTAGCTTGCAGGAGCCACCAGTTCCCTACGTACATTCGAATATAGAAACAACCGCATCGCGGGCTCCTCTCGCACAGTTAAATCTGCCCGAAATGATTCATTGGCTGGCCTTTTTTTGTTTTAGAAGATCCTGGTTCAACCACACCTGCCTATAGAGACATACCGTACGAATAACGCAATATTTAATCGTATGGAATAACAGGTCCGCAGGAAAGCAAGTTCATGGTTGAGGTGATGTTACTTTAGTCGATAAATGAATGCACATAGACCTACTTACTGACTGCTCACGGTAGTTTAGAGCTCTGGCACGTATTGGGATCAGTTCTTGTGGTTGTTTGTTCCTTTAAGCTTCTGCTGCGTTTCCACAATGTCATTAGAGTGAACCCTCAATCCTATCAACCTCCATGCCGATGATGGGTGCCCGCTAGGCTACCGTCGCGAGAACGCGGAAAAAGATCGGTGGACCTAATTATCATGGATGAACGCTTCGCGAAACATTTGCGCGGCCTTCAATAGGCCATCGGTGCATTATTGAGAAAAAGCTGCATAAATCCAAAATTCGGTTGTGTATTGTACACATGTACTGTTCATCCATGAATCGTTGTGACTGCACCACTGCTGTTCGAGCCATCGATGTAAATCCCGTATGTTCAAATGCACCTAGGTATGAACTATAAAATAGGCTTAACTTGCATAAGTGAACGCTCATGCACGTTTTTACGCTAGCGCTTTCGCCACGACGAGTTACTATTGAGCATTCTTATTGAGGGTTATGTTATACTCTGCGCAATACAGCTAAGCAGGTCTAAGCTGGTTATGTTTCCTAACTTGATGGAAAAATAACAGCTAAGTTCGATTAGATGATTTTTTTTTAAATTAAAACTTACACATTTGAAAAACTCGCTCTATTTTATAGTTGCCCTGCTCTTTATAGCCTACATCTAAAAAGCGTTTCAGGCCCAACTAGTCACACATTGTCATTTTTGGCGGCCTATTAGTCGTTGACATGGAAGGCGATAAATCAATTATGATACGAATATAATTCGTATTCTGTTTTGTCCAGTCATTAAACAAATATTCAAATACATCATTACTTCAAAAGAAAAAAAAACCCGCATCATTCTAGCCACATTACGGGCTATTCTAGAAAAACACATTGTCAAGATACGACTAAGCAGACTGTCAGGGTATGTTGACTGTTCATCATTTGCTTCATTCATTAAAGGTATAACATGTGCATGTGTATTTTTGTAACACTATATATATATATATATATATATATATAATAGAGTAATGAATTTTAGTTAACGCGCACGTGCTGTATTGGTTTCGATGTTACAGTTCTTTGCCCCACGTAATAGGATTCGTCTAACTGTTCTTGCCGACATGGGGGCAATGGGAAACCAATCGAGCGCAGCACTATTCACGGGCTAGATCCTCCAAGCCGCAACAGAAGATGGCCGCCTATTACGACGTTAAAGCCTGCGCCGCCAGCGACTTACCTGTCCACTTATCGGCCTTCGATATAGGTTTCCATGAGCTAGAAATTTGTCAATCGTCGGTCTTGCTTGAACTATTGCGACCCAATTAAGCTAAATACATCCGAAATACACGCTAAATTCAAATTAACTTACTTATATATTACACCCGACAGGAGCCGAGGCTCCGCTATCCTCTAGTAACAGTAATTCCAATTGTACGTCTCCAAAAATGAGCAATTACTCACTCCGCTGTTGCCTTTACTAAGAAGTTTGTATAATTGCGCTGAATACTCAGCCCAGCGAGTGTGTGCTGAAGGTAGCACAGAGTCGACCCAGAACAGATAGACATGTATTACGCGTAAATGGTCTCTGAATCTATGGAGAAATACAAACAGAGAACGTCATGGAATATACAGATATCGAGATGAAAGAGCCAAAAAATTATTAGAAATCATTGAAAAATATGCAAAAACGATCTCTAAATAAACCCGTGACTTTCTCTCCCTCTATATCTCATTTTCATTCTATATGGCAAGAAGATTATAAAATATGAAGCATGTATCGGCAGAATACATACATGGAACACATACACACACCCGCGAACACTACTAACTGTATTTAGATAAAAAAAAAAATATATATATATATATATATCCGTAGAACTGGCAAACGAGAGAAAGAGTTCAGTATGGCACAATGGAGGCACGTAGTGCAATGACTATTTATCGTATAGTATGATCGGTCGATCCATTGATTGTTGAAGACTGACAATGGCCGTCTCCATTGAATCAATTTCTTTCTGGTACCCACCCGAGGCTAGACCTCAAAAGAAGAAAAACACATCTGCTGGTTGAGTCGAGATACAATTGAACTCAATCATTATCTATTTTCGAACGCCAGAAATGGCCGCTGTGAGCTGTACATTTTGTTATGTTTATATATATAGACCTGATTGTCATCCAGCTTGCTCCGCAGTGAATTCGATAGCAATGCTATATAATATTCCTATCATTGCTATGAAAAAGCAGGATGTTGACTTTAATTACAAAGCTTGTTCTAGCTAGACGTAGATATAATACGAAAGGGACAAGGTGGAAACGATGAGATAGAAAGTAACTAGAAAAATGGCTGGAATAATGGTATGGGGCTAAATTGCAGTGAAAAACGCTTGGGGGGCAACGGCCGGCGCAGTGCGCAGGTCTGTCGATGTACGAATGAGAATGACACGTGTCTATTATGTGCAGCTGTCCACTTGGATGTGTTAACATAATAAGCGATGGCAAGAACGTGACAATAATTGGAAAGTCGTCTAGCAGTATACTACCGTTGGAGCACGGTAATATTTTAGCACCCCATACTCCGCCATATAGCATAACACTATATGATAATACCGTAAGATCATGTTATAATAGCAACGCTCGTTCTTTCTGTCGATATACGCGGGTACAGGCCTGAAACGCTTCACTTTGTCGTAACGTCATTAACCAATGATCATTATGCGCAAACGTGCGACAGTGTTACCCTATTGTGCTTCACCGACTTCAAAGTTCGTCTCCGCTCCAGTGCTAACACTGCTCGTGAAGCTATTCTTCAATGATACGTTCAAAATGCGTCGTCCAAAAACGCCTACAATTCGGTAAAACAGACACAAAATACTTGTTTGTAATTTATTTTACCATGAGGTCAACGAAAATTTGAACGAGTCAGCTTTGGCTTCTCTGTCCCCCAAGAAACGTGCAGAAATATTGCCGTACCATCAGATACGATCTGCCGTTTATTTTCGCGCGATTTTTCATTTCCGATGTTTAGGAAATAGGTCCCTGCTCGTTTCAGGTGGCCGGACAAAAAAGGGGATCTGGCACGCGCACATCTATTGCCGCAGCCTCGTACGTCAATATAGATTTTTTGGAGCCAGCCTGACTATTATTATGCATAAGAAAGGTAGCTAACTAGCAGCCTGGCAAGTTATTGTCTAGGTGGAAGTAACAATGAGAAGCGGGTGGAAAATTATTAGGAATGACGGCACGATTGCCATAAAAAAACATAGGCAAGCCAATGCTTGTAGGGCGCGCATCACAATGAACGCAGAGTAGTCTTCGATCCACTCCTGGATTGTCAGCAGAATAGCAATGTTATCATAATAAATTAAATAAAGTTAGAGAAAATATGAACTAAGTTATTGACCTTGAGGAGGTAAAGGCCAGATGACCAGAAAAGTTCATTATAGCACAGAGAGAGCTAGACAGAGAGGAAGAAAGAGTGGATTATAACAAGAAGCGATGCGAAACAATAAGACAAATCCTTGTTGAAACAAAAGTAAATACGAATTTTTGGATGCCATTAGAGGACACCACTGTCCTATTGATATTTTCCCAACAACATCGTGTGTACCGCCTTCGCTTTGTCTGACCCATCGTTGTTAGTACAACAGCTGCGCTTTACTAACACAAACCAACTAGGTAGGGTAATGTATTTCAACACAAAACCGAGACGATTGAGAAGGGACGGGTTCGGATAGAACGAACGAAACGACGTAGAAATAAAGAAGTTCTTGGACAGGAGCATCGTTCCAGGGCGTTCAGTTCTATATTTCAGTCAGTTGGCGTTTGGCGGAAGTTTACAATATACGATGGAAAGAAGCGAGAGAAAGGAACGGTACATCCGTTTAAGAGTTTGACCATTCATTCACAGATGGAAATGACTTGAAGATGCGAGAATATCATGTATACTGAACGATGCAAAAGAACAGAAACTCTTCAACCATTCCTCCGCCTTGACCTTCTCGTAGGGAAGAAAAAAACGACAATAAGGGAAATTAAAAAAAAAAAAAGGCTGTGTAACATCGATACTGTTAATGACGGACGAGGTGAAAAGAAACACTCATCACATGATATATAGCATATATGACAATAGTATGAATACTACAACAATTATGTTAACAACGACTAAATGGTAAATAAAAGCTACAACAAAAAATAAATAAACTGTGTAATTAACCTTTTATAAAACTGTCAATATATTTATATATTATATGCTTTCAGGTTCAGTGCCTGTCTGTGTTTGTGATTAAAATCACGTTTGTTAAATGCTCCTCTTGGGCTAAGGATTAATTAAAGCTTAGGCCATAAGTTATTATTGCTCATCATTCGTAGATATTAACTAAGTAATCAAGAAAGTAATTAAGTATAAAAGGTAAGAGCGAACCCTTGAACAGTTATGCCGTCTCCTACAGTCTACTCATTCAATATAAGTCTACAGCCATCAGTAATCGATTGTGTAGAAAGGTGGGAACAAAGATATTATACGTCGTATCTCAAAATCGTCTAAGCTAACGTGCGTAATATAATCTAGCTAGTTACGTATAAGTTTCTAGGTCGATAAATGTAAACATGCGTCTTAGCTTCACACACGCCGAGCACAGCATTGATACCGTTGCGAAATTTTTAAATTAAAGTTGCAGTTAAAAAAATAGAACGTAAGTTTTGGCTGGAGCTAATGAATTTTCAATAAATCAGCAGTCGGCCAAAGATCGGCGTGAACCTGGAAAGAAGACCAATTTAATTCGTAGTTCCAAGAGGTCTTGCTCAAGTCAACTCCACCTCGTATAATGATAAGTGCACATTTGAACGTAGTTTACGCCCATAAGGATATAGAAAAACGCTTAAAGAGCACGATAACGTGCAGACAATCTACTGCGGCGTGTTTTTCTGCAAATACGGGATAGGCCGATTGCCTGTTATCAATACAATTAACTGTCCCTAATGTAACTGTACTTAACTGTAACTTAACAATTGCAAACCTTATAAAATTATGTACAGCATAATTATATGTGACAATGAACTTGTTTAGCACTTAATGAACAGCATTTATAGCATTGTAATACTTTAAAGGCCATCATTAAATCATAAGAAATCACGGCGTTATTTCAAAGATGAGCAATTTTATAGGTTTATGACCTTGATAGGTTAGGTCAGGATAAGCATCGTCTGTAAACGGCATTACCCAAATATATGGTGATAAACTTTTAAGTTTTAGTTTTACATCTTTCGTTAAACCTACCTATTTGTCGGGCCATCAGAAGGCGAATATATGTTCCAGTGCCCCCTAGTAGCGGGTTACAGAAAATCCTACCGCATCGTCTGTTGCGCCATCGATCATATCTCTGACTGAACTTCCGCTGTCCCCACCAGCTGAGGACGCTGAAAATTTTTAATAAATAGCGTATACACTGTCATCGAAGGCAAAAATGTTTGTTTAGCTTAATCCAGTCATTACATCTCATATACATTGTTGAGAAAAGCCCATTCTTTTTCAATAATGCAATTAGTTGCGAGAGATCCCAAATAAGACAAAGCTACTGGGAACGGTGATGCAGTCAAAAACGTTTTATGCAAAACGAAAACGTTACTTCAGAAGTTACAGATGGCGAAATGACTTTTTGGAAACGATCTCTTTGATCAAGTTCTAGTTGCGGCACAGTTCAAACTAATTGGAGATAAAAATTAACTATGATCGGGCAGTTCTTAGATGATTCAAGTTCCACGATGCTCTAGTGAACAAAGACCTTTTGTCTCCGTTCACCATCCACCGTTTTGACCATCTCTCCGTTATAGTGCTCTTAGATACACGTGGACGGTCCGCATTTGACGTCCCTATATAAAGCGACGTTTCGCAAAAAAAAACCTAATGAAGTTTGGTTATTTTTATCATTTAAGTATGCCATCGTATGCATGATTTTTCCAACACTACAAAACTATATAGATTAAAAACCCACTAAGTTTAATATGGACAGAATTGATACATCCCTATTTCACAAAAATGAAGGACTTCACCACGAGCTTTTCTATGTTCAGTGTCCGCCTAATGTTGAACTAATATAACTATATCTTGATCATCTGATTCTGGATAGTGTCTTTCGAACGAAATAAAGATACAGACGTTAAACACGCGCCCACCATATAATCCATGTAAGAACATCAAACAAATACTACTCAAACGCATACAAAGTAAAGCCACAAGCGAGAAAAAACATTCGAAGCTAACGTCGTCTCAACCTCGGTCTCAGCTGAGTAAATAACAGCATATCTGTAATCGCTCTTTGTCTTTTTCCCGAGAATCTGAATGACATTAAAAAAAAAAAAAAAAAAAAAAAGTATCGCGCAGTTTGTTAGATCACATCGTCAAGCTCGACCGACTGTTTGACAAACAATGGTAACTGTCAACGGTTTCGAGTTGGTCAACGGTTTCAATGTCACCGTCACTGTTGGTATTGCGCTGATGTCGTGGGCACGTTATCGTTGTTATCACTACTGCTGAAGTCTTTGCTTTTATTGTAGTCCGTCGTCGATGTTCTTTCGAAAGCGATTACCCTACGCTCTGACTTTCAGGTAGACGTAGTCAACTTCCGGCCGCAAAGTGGTATATTAAACGAAGTATCTTATACATCCCTATTACGGCCGAGCCGTGATTGCGCTTTGCTCTGTTCTCTGGGTCGCGACCTATTTTCCTGCTTCCTTAACACGTCGCGCGGAAATTTCTGCTTTCCTTTTCAAATTATAGACTGCAGAGTGACCACAAAATTATTGCAGTTTTTGTTGCTGTTCTACTAGTTAATGTTATCGTCGTGGGTGTCGTGGACGCTGATGATGTTCAAGGGTAATCTTATCGTTGCGTCCCTCGTATTTCGCTGAATTTTCTATTCACGTCCAGTAAATAAGTGACATTATTGAAATATTAACAAGGAGAGGAGGAGGTATTGTGATTATTACCAGTTTTCTTCGCCCATCTGAAAAGAATAGCTGGCACACAGCCGGAATAGAAAACAACTGCGCCCGCAACAGGGGCAACATTGTTCCTGCCCTTATGAGCACCGAACGACAGCGCAACAAGCCGAGGTAGGACTAACCGCCAGTGCACAACAGGCATGTACTTGATGATATAAGCATATTCGAAGTCACCTTCTTCCGTAGCTATACAAAACGAAATAATATGAGTAGTTTATAGCAGCAAAAAAAAAAAAAAAAAAAAGAGGAATTGTGCGGATTAAGATAGCGGAGTTCACGATCGCTTGAGCCATGTTAAATCGTTGCTTAAGAGTGTGTACCTATCAATTTCGTGCTCGACCAAATGATGACCGGGTCCACCAGAGCATGTTCTTTTAAAGACTACTTCTTTTCTTCAGATCACACGTTAAGAACATGACTAATGCATATTTATGTATGCTTACAGCTAAAAGCAACAGGAAGTTCCTCGTGCGAAAATGACTGATGAACTGACAAATGTCTGAAGGCCTAATTTCTGTTGTAAGTCTTAGGATATGAAATGGTTTAATGGATTCGTGAAACGGAAGCTCCTCAAGCTTAGTTTGACCTCACTATACGAATCATCCAATGTCACAACAGGCTAATGGTAATTAGAGTAGCTGGTACCGTAATAACTTTGTTATGAGGGGTTGTTATCATGGCAGATGGATAATTATCTGGCCACCGGTTGACCTTATTGTAGATGTAATATGCACAATTGGATAGATAACGCCACAGTCTCTCTGGTAAAAATCAGATCGGGTGGTTCGTATGAGTGTTCCAGATGTAAACAACATTTTAGGCGCTAACGTTATTAGATCCATAGAGCTCGAAGTAACTGCCACCCCGGAAACCCAGACCAAAGCTAAAAACGGGTAATGGTCCTATAAGTAAGTTTGACTTAACCAAACACTGACGGAAAATGTATTTCACCACCAATCTGCAGTCAAATATTTTCAACGTTTCGAATTGAAAAGCTTCAGCTGAATCGAGACGCGTTCGTTCATCGCAGTCTTCCCATAGCAAGCTACCTTGTACATATTATCTAGTAGTAACAGTATATACAGACTATAAGTGAGTAGAAGATTGTCTATGACTTTTTTGTCTATTCAGAATTGGCCGACTTTACAAAAGATGAAATGCAGCATTCGCAGAGATCCGGGTAGGAGCTTAGAAGTAATTCTATTGAATGAAGTTTTATCAATTAAATCACAATCCAAAACGGCATTACCCACATCAAGTAAATGATTTTTAGTAGAGATCTGGAGTGACACGTATAGGCACGATGTGCCGTGTTTCTGTATATTTCACCCCTTTAGACACCAATTTCTATTTAGGCTAATTTGCTTGGTTTTGCCAATGCAATGTAGCTCTTTCTCGTTTCGGAAATTTTAACACTGAATTTGATCAGAGGAGCGTCACACTAAATATGGCGCTAGTAGAGAAATTACTCCAAGTCGATTTTTATTCAACAATTTGAAGGGTTCACAACACATGCCGATAGAGTCCGCCAAGTAAATATATCACACTTGCAAAAGGTCGTTCATTTTTAAAATTTATCAAGCCATTATTTAAATAATACTTCATTTTTCTACTAAACAGATATATAGCTATGTGTTTCGACAAACACCTCGCTCCCAGCACGGAACGAAGCGTGTCCATGGGACTCGAAACCCCGTATCCCGAACCATCATCTCTTACATGATCGGCTAAATGACAAATTATTTTGCTTGACAAGGTGAACCGTATGTCTCTGTAAATTGAGACGAAACTTGGCTTTCGAACCTGTACCATAGTCAGCAGATACGTCTATCTAGAAGTATTCCGAAAACCTTTCTAAGGGCATAACTAGCTCTCGCGGAATGGGAATCATTACTGGTTCAGTTAGAAAAGATCCGCGTCTTCTTTGCTAGTAGTACATTGAAATTCGAAGTAAATTATCTTGATGCTCTTTATTTGAACTGGCTATAAGATCTTATCAAATTGAGCTTTGCCTATTTTCAAATGAGACAAGATGCTTAAAAAGACATCCAACTTATAATTATTAACTTTCAGCTGATTGTGATCAACATTTTTCCCGACTTGAAGTTGTATGTACGTTGCATTAACTAACGTACCTTAGAACTCGAGATGTTCATTGTTTTTTTTTTCAAAAAACGCTTAAGAAAACCCCGTCCTCCTAAAACTCGTGCGAAGATCACTTACGCAATTTCCCATAGTTGTTGGAAGGCCAGCGACTCGAACTTTTTTACTCGATTGAGAGTCTAAACAAAGTTGGAAAATATCGTAGATTTATTTCAATTGTGTCTGTTCGGTCTAGTACAGAGCAAAATAGCCGGAAAGGCAGGTTATAGCGCAAATAGAGAAAAATACACAACGGTATTCCAATCGAAGCATACGTACTAAGACCGTGGTGTAGAAATGTTGAATACTGAATGTCATTGTCCTAAAGTTTGTATCACGGCATGGAGTGCCCACGCAAACCCTGCTGGATAGGCTGCCTTAAGAAGGCTTCACAGTTCTGCTAATTATCTTTCATTATGGCCAGTAACTGATGTTGCCATAGCTAAATGTTGTCGGTAGTTCTTTCTTCGGAAACAGTGAGGTTTCACCCAGGGCCACCGAGTTCTCTAAATGATGCATCAAGTTATAGGTCATGTCTTGGAGATTTCTAAGCAAATACGGAAGGCACACCAGGACAATTGTCAGAGAAATCAAACGAGCATTGTTATTCGGCTCTGGCAAGGTCAAGACTCGCTGACACTTAAACATCGACACCATGAAACCTATAAGCAGTATTTGTCGTTTGGCTGTACCTTGAAAGCCTTCATCTGAGGGTACATGTTTAAAGGCCGACAGACTTTCATTATAATGTTACGAAGTCGGTAGTTGGCACAGAGCAATTCTGTTACTGTGAAACATGGATAAGGTACGATGGTACAGGAAATCCTTCGATGTGTTAAACGTGCACGCAAGTAAAGTATGTGTTTTCTGCTATTTAATACAGACCTTCCCTATATCTACTATTTTAGAATAATACTGCCGTATCATCGAGACGCACGTTGTGACCAGGGTTCTCAGTAGAAGAACGACTTGAATAAAAATCCTTTGGACGTGCACACACCTACTCAAGTTCTTCTCATAACAGTATAATCTTCTCGATCCTTTCTTTGAGCTTCCCGTCATTGTATAATAACGTTGCTTTAGAAGCGTGTGCTGGTCGTTCTCAGGGGACATCAACAAATAGGGAGGTGGCGTCCAATCCAATAACGCAATCTTTCCCATCGTTTTTTAAAAACAGCGCTTGCTAACTTAACTCCGCAACTCCAAGTGGGTCGACACGGAGGAGCATATTATCGTCTACCTGAAACAAAACACCTTGGTGTACATTTTGAAATTTTTTTTTCATTGCAATTGACAAATGACACCGAGCAGCTGAAGAAGTGGGTGGTCCTTTTTATTCAGTTGTGGTGGTATATCCACGAATAGCATCAAAATTATACTTGTGTCTAGAAGGACCTCAGCACACCAGTCAGTCAACCGTTGTGTCCTTACGTAGCTCTTCACCAGGTGGCACTTATGGCGTTTGACTCTTCGCAAGCATACAAAAACAAGACCGGGAAAGGGCTGCATCCGACGTCGTAGAGCAACGGCCGGCGCAACAGTGACCATCGGGTTAGCACGGCATTTCTTTCTGCGCGAGTGCTATGGGCGCGATAAAAGGCCAGGGCAACGATATAACCAGTTGACAGTGAGCTCATAGCGTTGCAATTAGATCTGATTTAATTTGACCCTATTACAAAACAGTAGCAAGCTGCGTACTTATACCAACCGAAACAAGGATTCGTTGGCTCTCTGTGCATACGTACACTCTATGCCATGCACATATCTTAGCCGGTGAAGTTCTAGGCGTGTGCTGATGTGTGTTCGTGCCCGGTGGCGATTATTACGCACTAACGTGATCTGATCGTTGTTCGAACAATCTATTGTCCTATAACAGGTGGTGTCAGAAAATATCGGCAGAGACAAAAAACAGAAACGTGTGTCAATAAGTATTTCCTAGGTGCTTGTGCTTAGGGTTTGACGCGGCCTTTTTTACTGGGTTACCTTGATAGCTCTCGCGTCCGACGCTGTCGTCGTTAATCTCGCGCCGAACCGGAAGGTTGTAATTATAATGTTACTGTTTATTTATATAAATCGTAAAATAGCGTGCATATATACGGGTAGAAATCTATAGCATGTATGTTTCCGTCATGAATCGACAATAAGAACTATTTAGCCGACGACAGAATATTTAATAACGTATCCATTTACACTTTGTTCTCTTCGTTCGTTGTTTATGTCACCCTATAGCGTTACTATCGGTAAATTCACTGTAGCCGTCATTTTTCGGTATCATCGTCACACTAGGTACGCTTGCATGATTTAGCACAATCCGTCTACACTAAAGCACAGCATCTATTTGCTTGCTAATAGATGCTAGTAAATATATAAACATTCGGCAACAGCCTGATGAAACAGTCGCAAACATTGATTTGGAATTGAGACCCGTTTTAGTTAGTTAGTTAGTTAGTTAGTTATACAGTCAGGCAGCGCCTCTATCCCTGAGTCATTTTCTGGATCTACTGATACCAGTACCCAGATAATATATAACTGCCGCAAAATTGTACCAGTCTTATCGTCGGAAAGAACGAACCGTATGCGGAGATGGCATACTAATTTCGGCAATGCAACATCCTCCGGCTCAACTCTACGTGATGATGATAATATAGTTGATAGAAAAATCTCGTCTTTCCTTTTTCTCACCTGAATGCTACCAGGAAGCTCGTATTCGACTGTGTCCAAATTTAGATGATTCAATTTAGTTAAAACTGTTTGTTGGCGCTGAGGAGCAATTCACACGGATTCGTGTCTCTTCCATTTGACATTTGGATCATTTGTCATTTTATTATTATTGTCATATAAATTCGCCGGGCCATTTATCGACCGTACTGTTTCGCGGAAAAATGCCAAAGATAATATTATGCCTTGTGAATGTAACAGGTGTAACGTCCTTTGTTAGATGATGATAATAAAATGACGATGATTGAAAGCGGTTTTTCATTGCGTTACACGTTCGAGTATTAGATACGTTGCGTTTGCCGTCAGCCTCCATTCAGAGTAAGTTCGATTTCACGATGATCAGCTGGGTTTGCGACATATGAGCATACCTAATGGAGTGACGGGCATATCTTAAGGATAAAGAAAAAAAAGCGGCCAGTTCATCTTATCTTTGCGTTCGGTACGCAGATCGACATTGAAGAAAGGAAAAAATATATATATATCTAGGATATGTCAAGGTCTCCGCTAGGTTACAATCATGTGTGAGACATGAGTCATGTAGCAGCAGCGGCATAAACGCGAACAACTGTTGATCATTTTAGCGGGGCGAATATACCCCTGAAAAAATAAGCTAGCAAATTTACACGAGCTTTTGATATTAACAAGGATCCATTAAGCAGTGGAAAAACGCGGTCTATAGACGGCACTAGATCACTAGCGCCGATCACTATTCTAGGACTGGTAAATACCGCTCTTCAACAACACTCATCGAACCTTAATTAGGTGAGCTGGATTGACGACATAAACTGACCTAAGATGCCATTCGTTATACACGTGTTCACCGATGTTGAGGATGATATATAAGTCGAACGGGTGATGGTGCCATATTCAACGTGATATGAACGTACGGTGTCCCTCATATTTTTCATGATAATCTGCTAGAGACTGCTGGTTTCAGACAATGTGGGCACTCTTGATTTTCGTGGAATTGCTATGGTCTCAGGTCACGCATGTCCAAACGGAACAGCAATCGACGACTGGATACGTGACGTCGTCAGGTAGTTACCAGCACAACTAGTTAAGAGACATTTATGTATTACTTGCAGTTCGTATCTATTAGTACAATACGAATTGATGCCCACTCAATTCCTTCAAATTAGGTATCCAAGATGGATGATGCAGAAATAGATGACTGAAATTCAACAACGAGCAAGTGAGAAATCCACCGTTTACACACACAACCGCTATTAAGGGCAGACTTTTTCAGAATGTCCAGTCTTTATGCAGTACACCAAGACCCCAAGGGTCTCGGTGCACTGCATGCATTGCTTCGTGTCTGTTTTAGTTAGTTAATAGATTGAAGTTAAACGCCATATAACACTGAATAGGCTGTTACAGTTTTTCTTATCAAGTTCTACTTGACGCTAACATTCTATTTTCATACAATATAAACATTCAGTCTCACACATCAAAGATGTCATATGTAAGCATGAATGCTAGTATAAATCTTCATAATGCCATTAGCCCGTCAAGAGGCGAACCTCAGCGATAAACTTGTCATTACATTATTGGCAAACAGCGCCCACTTTTATAGGCCCCCTGGTGAATACTCCATACGGATCCGTAGAAGGAGTTCGATTAGGAGTCGGTTCGAGCGAAGAGGTCGAAGCTTTTTTGGGAGTTCCGTTTGGTCGACCTCCAACAGGCGAACTACGCTTTGCCAAACCACAACCCGCCTTGCCTTGGCAAGGAATACTCAAGGTGAGGCTCTTTTACATTATAAGCAACGTTTGTAGACCGATGCACTTTTGTTCAGTGTATCGATTACACCGGCTATCGGATGATTTGTTTTTATATGGCTGGGGAAAAAACAACTCAATTTCCAATTGAAAACGGTATCGGTGCATAATAAAAAAAGAAGTGCTAGTAAAAAGGGAAATAGACCTTTGAAAAATTCCAGCTAAATGTAGCAGTATCTCCTGGCAACCAGGTCGATTTTTTTTATTTCCAGTGCAATGTATTTATATAGTCAACTTTTATAATCTTGGTAAGCCGCCGGCTTTTATTCGGCTTTGTTGGACGCAACGACGCGTCTATTAAAATAATCTAGGCGACACGGAATATGTAAAGCATCCGCTTGAGATAGTACTAAACGTATATATTTACCCTTGCCGAATGCTTAAAAGCGTCCCAGGGCATATTTATCTATTGCTGAAGACGAAACATCTGCTTTTTAGTTAGATCGTAAATATGAGCTTTTGTTTTAAATAAAACCGCGAGTTTCCAAATTTTTCGTTGAACTATATATATATATATATATATATATATATATATATATATATATATTCTTTTTTTTTTTTTCTTAATGTAGAATAACGAAAAAAACGCGTATACAAACTTGGGAGACAGTGAATCTATAGAGTCCATGTATAGAATCTATAGATGATATGCAAAAAGCTCGCTAATCAGTAAATATTAGCGCGATCTCAATCGGCGTTTGTTCGCGTGTCACTGACCGTCCCAAATGGGAGGATGACTTGATCTCCGATCGCCTGCTGTGACGCTGAGAAGTACTCTATAGATTTTTAAATTTAAATTATCATATGTGCAATATAGGTTCGTGATCAATCATGATCGATGCTGAATTTGACTAGTCTTCCTATGCTGAAATGAAGCTATACGTTACCTAAAGAGACCTGTGATAAAGATGTGCGAAGAAAACGTAGAAACTCAACGTAGTATCATCCGATTACGGAAGAGGTCTAAACGTCCTACGTATTCTCATTCACAACACCTTCTGATTTCGACAAACGTTTCACCATCGATAGTTGAGAAGTATGTAGTTGAGCTACTGAAAACATCACAGAAATAAACATGTCTAGATTTGCTGTGACGCAATGGAATTACCCAATGTTATAAAGTAAGCACGTTTTACAGATTCCCGGAACGATTTAACTCATTTGATTCTGTCATACTGTTTTGTCATCACAACTAAGTATGGGACGACGTACAATAACGCAACGATTTTAATAACAAATAAGACGCAGTGGATCACAATAAACTTCACATACAACATCAATCGGACGATCGGGAGATAAAATTTTGAGTTCAACTGATGCCAGATGCGAAAAAACAAAAAAAAAAATTGTATATTAATTAGTAATCATAGTACTAATGTTTCGTACGTCATCGATGGGAACAGGGCAGTACACGCTGTTTACTGTCGATCTGGTGAATTACGCAGTCGATCGTATCACTAGATAAAAAGCAACTAAAGAAATTAGATTTCCAATGGGTAAGTTTGAAAAATAGCAAACAGAATTTGTTGAAACCTCTAGTTGGAAGTTTATCAGAACGCGGTAAACTACGTCAAAGGTCGCAGAGAAGATTAGGAAGAGAGTCCTAATTGCAACTTTCAATGTAAGCAAAATGAATAACGTTTCTATCAAAGATCCGAATAGCTAGTCCCATTTGAGAGTTGTACTGTCAACAAAAAAAGGAAGATAAATTTTGCTATTTGGAATTACTTAATGTTTACAAATTCACTGCAATGGTATTCACGGATGAGGCGAACGCTTTACAACAAAACTAACGGACGCCGCCTAAAATTAAGAAAGATTATGCGAACAAAATAGTTATAGTTGACAATTGATTGCAGTTTACTTTTGTGGCTTCGCCGATCTTCTTTTCTGGGTTCTCCTACGTGTGCTCCTATTCACTGCTTTTCAAAAAGACGGCTGGCACAACGTCGTTTTGAGGCATGCGTTACAGAACCTCATAACGTCATCAGCTTCGAATAAGTTGATGGACCCATTCATTGTTTAATACTTTCAATAGAAAAACGCAAGTTCTCTCTTGAATTCAGATCTCTCAAATTTGTGCTTAATTACATATATGTAGTAAAGATCATAGGTGGAGCAGATATCTCTATGTAAATGGTGAAAGGAAACTTGTCAGTGCAACGGAAATTACGTTGTTGCTTGTCTGGCTCCGGATCTTCCGCTTTCTACTCTAATAGGATTATTAAAAATAAATATAAAGGTCAAATACCTGAGACGCAGTCAAACAGTATATATTCAATACTCAAATGTTGTTTCCGCATTTATCGCGATAAAAAAACTATAATAGCGTTAGCTAGATAACTGTCAGCAGTATAAAATCTCATCCAAAACGTGGCCGAGTTTTAGTACGCTCCCACTTACCATATTTCAGATAACGCAGCGTATCTTCGGTTGATGCTTGATTAACTTTAAATTGTACTAGACGGCCTCGCGGGCTTCCAATTGATAAGGCTAAGTCCTTGACTCTTTACCCGTCTTGAGACGTTACCGGGCTAAGGGTTTCTCGTTGCTTTTTTTAAATGAGCAATTATATATTTTTATCTAAATTCAAATACATATGATATGGATATAAATTTTCTCGATTAAAATGTTTTTTTGCTATCGATTCACAAAATGTCCTTTTGTAGATCAAGGTATAGTATGCGTTGACCCCGTCCTTGGAACGACACCTAGATTTCTATGCCTTTTTTTTTTCCTAATAAATAAGTACAAATATTTCACATGCTAACATTTTTCTTTGAGTAATAAAGCGGCAAGATTTTTCACGAAAATCACCTTGACATTGGTCTAGCAACTGACCTTTATTAGAGGCTCGTTCATAAACCATTTGAAACGTCGTTTCGCTCCTTGTCAGGCAAACCAGCTTAGCCAATACAGTCTCAAGTATAGCCATATGTATTGAATTTTCATCGATTGCCATTATATAGAATACCATGTAAGGAAAAGCTACTATATGGGATTCTTGACTTTTTCCACGTCAAATATCAATTTTAGCTATGAGAAGATGTATTGCGGTTCTGGTCAGCTTGTCAGTACCTACCGATTTGTTTAAAAAATGACCGTCAACAAATATCTGTTTTTTTGTATAGAGAAATGTTTTTAACGTTTTCGTATTTCTTTCAAAGAATCTATAGATATATATACGGCAGACGCTACAACCTTCCAACTGATACTTATCAAAAATTCTCTTAAAAAAAAAGCATCCAAAAATAGCTCAAAACGAATTTTCACTCCACTGTCTCGTAAGTGAAACAACACTTCTATTTCGGGGGGGGGGGGGGGGTTCGGCTATTATCACACCAAAATACCCTTTTTGTATGCAAATGCCTATATTGTATTTTAGTTCACCAACATTTATCGATTGGAGTTGAAAATAAAATTCGCTCCTATGGGTGCTAGGCTTTTATCTGTTATAGTGTGCCCTTGAGATTTCGACGAGAGCTTTCGATTGGTACCAAGAACGACGACCATGATCTCCCGAAAATCAGCCCGATCCGATCACCTTCAAAGGTCGATTTGGACTAGACAAACAAGCAGATACAGAGTTCTAGTAGCACATAGATATATAGTATGCCGCGTATTGCATGCTGATCACCTTTGATCACCCGGAAATATTGTTAGGGTGTCCCACTACTAACACTAGCTGACTGTTTGATCTATCTTTGTAGCGTAAAACTGATAGCGGATATTACCTAAATTGTAAGCATAAATCCAAAAAGGAGCCAGTTAGATACTGGATCTTGCTAAAATTGTGCCTCTTTCGAAGTTCAATAGTAAATTTCAAACGTTTTCTCTGACAAGTTCAAGTTTGCGTCTGTTTGATGAAAAAAAATTACATACGATTTACGAAGCCTTTAACAGCTGAATACACAGAACACCTACAGCCGCCATCATTAACTTGTCGCGCAGTTGTTACACCCGTTTAAAAGCCAGAGTTGTCAGCCAACTCAGACGAAACTTTCTGAGATAAACTGATGATACTTTAAGAAAGTTTACATGCTTTTTCAACATCAGTTGTACGATGGTCATTACAATCATTCGGAACTAAAGACAGTAACAGCGATATTTATCTTGAACATCGGGATTTTTTTATCCAACCAACAAGTGAGCTTACAATACGTAGCATCATTCATGTTTACTGGCTATAGTAATGGGTTCAACCCACCTAAATAGATACGATTTTACTGTACACGTGGCAGGTGGTCTAGGAAAGAAGTTGCAAAGTCCGTTAGCGAGATGTTATCATTCGGAAATATTCTGTATGCCTATTCTATAAATAGGTACAAGCAAGTAGAAACCTAACAACCACAGATCCAGTTTCCTACGGTTCGATATGTAGTCTCCAAGTAGATTGTCGTGTAGGCACTAATTGTAAGAGTAACATATTATAAGCAAATAAGGGCAGGTGCAAGGGATCGTCGACATCTACGGCCTCCTGGCAGCTTCGAGTTCCTAAAGCCATTGTCTTCTATTTTTGGGGTGCATTTCATATAGTTGAGTAGTTCGGAGGAATATATTAACCAATAAACAGGGAGAGCTAATCAATATGCAGAAGAGTGACGACCTTATTCAGTCACAAGCATCTAACAACCTACTGTTCTCAACGATATTGTCGGTCATACTTTAGGCGCACAAGAAGGGACCCGGGTGTCCGCAAGCAGACCAACGACTCTCCCGCCACCTTCGCCTTGACTACCTGAATCATTCGTCCGAAGATTGTTTGATGCTCAATATCTGGAGGCCCGTAGGAACGCTGGGTAGCTCTACGACGCAGGTACAAATGCCATAGCACTACAGAACTACTAGAGTTAACTAACTCCTGTTCCAGTCAGAATATGAAGGATGATCGAAAAAGCAACGATAGAGTATCAGCTAGAGTTTATTACAAATAGAGATTTTTAATTTCGAGATGTTTGAGGTGCCTGTGCCACTGAAATTTAACACAAGCCGAACTGATGATGATTTTTACTGAGGAATTCTGTTCTTTTGAACGTATATAATTATTCAACGGCGATTCGGAGACTGCTAGAACTATAGACACGAACAGGTAAGTTTATTTCTCTTGAGGACTATTTTGGCTCAAAGAAGTGAAACATTTAGTTAGTTATACTGTGGGTATATAGAGAAACGATTCAAAAACACCGCGTGTTTCTAGGCTAAATGTTAAGGTTTCCATAGTGATACAAACTTTTTATTGTTCAAACAAATAAAGCAAAGAGTAAGCGTAGAATCGTCTACTGATCTGTAAGCGCAGTGAGAGCATTGGGTTTGTTCTGAAATAGTTAGTTGCGCATTCAGAGTAAGTAATAGATCTTGATAGCTATAAAGCTTGCTAATCGGCCATGAATAAATACCCGTATCTGTATTGTATTTTTTTTTTCGAATTATATGTTTGACTCGAAAACGTGTTGGAGACATATTATTCAAATCAACTTTCATTCTGGAAGGATGCGTTGAAACCAGTGTTCGTGTTCATCTATGGCGGTAGCTTCCAGTGGGGCAGCTCCGATTTGTTTCTCTATGACGGTGGGGCTTTCGCGGCAGCGAATCGAGTGATCTTCGTATCACTTAGTTATCGTGTTGGCTTACTGGGATTTGCACACCATTCTGAGATTCCGGAGCTGACTGGTACGGCTGGTCTTTGGGACCAGAATCTTGCGCTGCATTGGGTTCGAGATAACATCGCACTTTTTGGCGGTGGGTATCAATTGTTATCGTCCGTGCATCAAAATGAAGCATGCATAGATTAATTTGCTCAATGGAAAATCAGTTTAAGACCTTGCCAAACCTGGCGATACCTTTCTACAGGTGATCCGACGGAGGTGACAGTGTGCGGTCACAGCGCGGGGGCGATTTCCGCAGCTCTGCATGCAATTTCGCCACATGCAAAGGGTACGTTGAAATGACTCGTAGCGTCATGATTTCAGCGAAGTTCGCTTCATTTTGAAACACGACAGGTAGGGAAGGTTCCAAAACCTATTATCAACTTCATTTCATGCACTGTTTATCATTTAATAAATAACACCTACTGATGTCTTTCTTTGCAGGACTTTTTCGGAGAGCCATTCTACAAAGCGGCTCAAGCTTATCTCTTAGCACATTAAACAGGATTCCACGTAAAGAGCTGGAGAAGTAATCTTTAGAGTCTATTATTTACACAACTGCAATGTATCTATGTACGCTACAGTAGAGCCCTACAGTTAAATGTTACGGGTTGAATTAATTAGCCCGAACGTACGTTTTTATACCATACTGATTCAAGTCCATATATGAAGACAAACCTTACAAATAGTTTGATCCGTACTCATTTCTGTAGGAAGTTATGATATGAAGTTTCAAAATCTGAAGACCTAATCAATATTTACTTTTTACGGCAAGTTATGGCTCTACAAATATTACTTTTCACAGATCTCTCGTACCTCTCAGTATCTCTGCACTTCTATAAATAGCTGTTTGCTGTACATATCACGAAGCGCTCATAAATACCTACTATAAAGAATATAAAATAATTTTCTCTATACTAATATTCGAATAGTTCAAGCAGACGCCTGTCGATGCGCGCATGTTTACTTAGGTCAACTTGTAAGGGTTGAAACTGGGCCATGTTAATGACCTCTTCGCTATATACTTCTGGGAACTATTTCCAGAGCGGCACAAAATCTAGGATGTGGCGGCGATTCTCGGCAACAACTAGACTGCCTACGAACCATCAACGCGACGGAACTCGTCCATGTAGCTGACCTTCTTGGTAAGTATTTTGCAAAAAAATCTATTCTTAATAATCTATATAGATGATTATGTAGACACGTGACAAAATGATATAGAAATGCTCAAAGAATTATCGGAAATAAACAGAGAACAATGCCGTTCACAACGTTTGCTAATAACCTGAAAGGGCCTACAAAGTCAGAAAGACACTATGAACGTGGTCAAATGAAGATCATACGTTCAGAAAAGGTGTCGTTCGACAAGATGAAAGTTTTAGAGAAAACTTCGACAGACTAACACCTTCAAGTGGCCTATGTCCGTTTACAGGTTATGAAGGCATGGCACTTCCACCAGTCGAATCCGACTACACTTCTCTCGATCCCGCTCAACTCGAGCACGTTGAATTTAATGTCGAACAGCTTATCATTGGCACAAACCAACACGAGGCTAGTATTTTTGCGAGACGCGCCTTGGACAGTAACGAGAACCTCAGGTAACTAGATCGAGAACTTATGGGAGCGGTCTGTTCTGCTTCGAATTGAAGCGAAGCATGCCTACCGCTACGTAGATTCTTAATTACAATAATTATCTTCACTTATTTGCATTATTCGTCCGATTAACTAGATAGAGTAAAGTTCAAGGCAAGCAATTATATTCTCATTTAGGCTTTTTTTTCAAAGCATGCCGTTGAGTACTACCCTTACCGTTCTGAGAAGAACTGAGAAAGCCCTCTTTATTTTGACGGAGGCTCAAGCACGCTACTAGCAGATTAAAAATTCTCTTGCCTGCTGACCGAGCTGTGTCGGTACACAGGGAATTTTTTTTATCTGATAAAGAACCGTGTGTATGTGTATAAACGTATAAGTAACGTCAAGTGTCTAGATTTTTTACTTGTTTCCTCCCTCACCTGATATCCGGCTGTTCTCCTAAACGTCGCACATCTACCGGGCGCCCAGATAGCTCAGTCGGTAGAGCGTTAGGCTTTTAACCTAACGGTCCGGGGTTCGAGACCCCGTCTGGGCGTTGCTTTTGTGTGAATCGGATGAGTCTTATTGCTAAATGCTTGTATACTGTGAGACGTTCTTGTGGCAAAAAAAAACAATTCTTTTTTTTTTTGTTATAACGAAAGAGTGCCTTTATAGCGCCTCCGCTAATATATACGTAACTATAGGTATACAGATTAGAAACGACTAGAGGACGACAAGTAACTCAAAATGTAAATAGTTTATTAATACGATACGGTGACACATAACAATCAAAGCAAATGAGGAGTCTCAAGTTCCGTCATGTATTGCATTTAGGAAGTTATTTTCAGGTGTAGGCCACTTGGTCTCACTGGTAGGAATACTGCGTGCTGTCTTCCATACACCGCTGGCTGAAAGTCGGCGTATAGTGTCTGCATATTTTCCAGAAGAGCGTGAATATCCTGAAGAGGAAATAGTGGACCTAATTGCTGACGCCGCTACCGACCTTTTCTTTACGTGCCCTGCACACTTCTACTCCCAAGTAAGCAAAACCAGTGCATTATACTGCTTCTAATTATTTCTAACACGGCAGCATTGTAACCTATCGTAGAACGCCGGCTATTTCTTAGGTCTGAGCGCTATCGAGTAAATTCGAAATTTAACCAAAACCATTAGTAGATTGATCCCTCTGCGGGTTTGAATCGGCCCTTAGCCAACTTCTTAGCCACCTATATGGATTGGGTCAGCCGAGCCTACAAAATCTAAAAACTCTAAGCAAGACAACAACCATGAAAAATAGGCCTCGCCAACGCCTCAGCAACGTTCGTCGATAAAAAAAGAAACTGCTGTCGAACAAACAGACAGAAATGTACCATTAGTCACAGTGCGCAAATAGAAATGAGAAAATTGGTAGATTTTAATACATAAATGCACTTGTTATCTAAAGATAATTTCTTCCGCATTGCAGGCTGCCCTTGCTGCAGGGGTTGGAGTTTACCGGTATTTCTTTCAACATCAGCCCTCCTATAGTTTATACGAGGTAGTATTTCCTAGTAGATGTATAATAAACTCGTAAACTCGGCGTATTTTTTTCGTACAAATTGGCGATTTTCTGTTGATCGATGACTAAAACATGTGAACTTCAGATCCCATAAGCAGACTTGTAGCCCAACGCCGTCGATTACACACTATTTATCCTTGTTTAGTTCAGCTTTGACGAGCGTATTTCGGTGTTAACTGCAAACGAGACCTGTGAGTAACAAAGCGATTTGAAATTGCCCTCGAGTGTATAAACGTTTATCGTACATATGTTTCAGTATCGATAAACCTGGTTGATTTCGTATTAGCTTAACACTCTCATCTTCTCCATGCTAAATAAATGCTTCGAGCTCGCACGTTCGGTAGTGCCGTTGCACCGGACGGGTGCTCGCCCCTGGACTAGACGAGGCGTGTTTACGCCCGGTTTCAAGCCTAGGCCATCAGGTGTTGCAAAGTTAGTAGTTAGACACATTACCACAGCACAATCACGGACAATTGAAGATATGAACAAGTCGAAACTATCTATCTATAATAGGACATACCAGGAGCGCTTCACGGCGAGGAGCTACCTTATACCCTGGGAAATCTGAGAGTTCTCAAGAAACTTATAATGGAAGACAATGTCACGAAGTCCGACGCTACCGTTCAGAATTTAAATTACACTACGTTTGAAGAAAATCTTATGGATGAAATCCTGCATATTTGGGGTACCTTCACGCGCCAGGGGTAGGTGCCATTGTTACATATTTTAGTTCTAATATTGTACTCCATTCTATTTTGTGAAGCAGGTTTAAATAAATATATCAATATTGTTTTTTAAAAAACCTAGTATCATGTACATATAGCCCTATGGCAAAGCGCATGTATTACTTCTTGCTACTTTACTCACAGAGATGATAGCAATTCACATAATGAACTATAACTGCATAGAGGCAGTAATAGTCAATAGACAATGCACTAGCTAAGTAAGGTCAAAATGGGTTATGGACAAGAAAGTGAGAACCATTGCGTTAAATAAGACGGCCTAAATATACACCTTAGATGATAAAGCTTATGATTGGCTGCACGGTAACACCGGGAGCACGACACCCGCACGGATTCTAAAATTTAAGAATTTTTTTGCTCCAAATACCGCATATTAGTCATAAATCACACACATAAAAACACTCACCTATTTCATCTACACTGATTTTTCAATTGCAGTATAAATTATTCATTTTCATATAATCATATCGCTATACTTTCCGCTGTTTTTTTTTTTATGAGAAGTATGATGTAAAGCAGACTTAAGCAAGCACTCTCATATACGATCTTTACCGCATAACATAATAATAACACCAGTTTTCCTAGAAAACAGTCGGACTTCGACAAAATGATCCCATGGCTTAAAGCACCCAAATATGAATTTAGGCAGCTATTGGTATAGTAGGTATTTCCCTTGTAGAATGATACCAGTAAGAATATTGATAGGTGCTAATATGTTTTTATATAAAATTTTTATGTACTAAACCGGCAGAGAAATGCATGCCCATTTTGACGTGTATCGTTTACGAAAAAACAAATGAAAATTGACTGAATATAAGTCGCTTGTACTTACTGTCTGTCCAGGCCTATTGTAATACGATTTCGACAGAAGCTAGCCTTGCTATACTGATTTATATACGTTTTGACTCTATCTAATCTACAGAGCAGATCCGCACAGGCATTCTCGAAGGAACTCAGCATGTGTGCTAAGAAAAAATACTCATCCCCAATGTAGGAATCCATTCTGTCACCTTCTGAGTTAAAACTATATTTAATTGATCCCGCTTTTCACAGTTTGGATTCAAGCTTATCATTATCGGAGAGTACCTCATATTAAGTTACACTACTCCAGCTCCACCCGATTCATAGAACAGCCTTTCTGAAGAGGTAACACTGCATAGTTACTTGAGCAGCTCTGATCCTGGTGTTTTTTTTGACAAAATTCCCAGCATCTATATTGAATCACGATCGTATGCCAAAAAAGAGCAATTTATAAATTTTTTTTATAATTTTACCGAACACTAATACAAGCTGCTCTATGTAATGGTAAGAGGAATAGGCATAAGGAATCCAGATTAAAAGTTGTACTTGTGTACGGTTCGTGTGATAATTCTCCTAGCCTTCTAATAAAAAATATATATTATTATTATTATGATCAGAAAAAATAGGCATATAAATATTGAAGTACCACCTTAAGCGTTGATTTGCAACATGTTTCTAATAGGAGCGCATAAAGATGCGGACATTACATGACTTTACAACGAAATACAAGGACTTCTTAATTTGAAGCGACAGAATCTAACATTGACGAACATCTTAAAGGCTTACATATTTCCCTCAGAAAGGACAAAAAGCTACAGTGTATGGTATCATTTAGTAGTATTGTTTCCTCGTTTTAGATCTGAGTTAGTGATCAAATTATCACATTTACCACCAACATTATTATCTAACTGTCATATTGGCACCAATAACCTGAAATATAGCCCCTTTTTCCTGCGTAGTAACAATACATTCATCATATCCTGCGATACCGATTCACAGATTTAGTAAGTAGGAACCGCCGTAAGCCGTGCGAATATCTGTAGGCAGATCCATTGTATTTAACAAGCATCAATTGTAAACATGATTCCGAAATAAGGCCGCCGTTGCAGAGATCTTAAGCTTAATTGAAGGTTAACTGGAAAGAGGATTAGCTTTTTGAGTACAGATAACACGAGTTCTCTACGACTAACGTCTGCTGAGCCACTTGGCAGGCGGAAAATTTCGAAGAAACATCAAACTAGGCGCCACAAACAAATAACATTTGATAGATATTAAGAAATAGCTCTCTTGCTAGTTCCGGATACAGGCTAATTGGGTTTCATTAGAGAATAGTTCATTTTCTTATAAAAAGTATTGTTTTATGCTCTCCTTGATTGAATTGAAAGCAGGAACGCTAATAAAATCTATCGAATATTAAAGCTTTAAGCTAAAGAGTGTACAGTAAAGCAACGGTTCGACAGTGAGGCGGTCATTTTAATAACGTTAATGGGGAGGTTGAAGACCGCAAGGCAAATCACTAGATGACCTAGACGGAAAGACCAGCTGTTGCAATTATAGAAGCTGCTACGTACAACAATGCATGCACAGCGCAGTCAATATTGAATCTCTCGAAATCCATACTACGAAATTCTAATTAAAACATTGAAGATAAAGGGGAGAAACAGCGGAATTAGTTTTTTAGACAATTTCCCAATGGATGAAACTTGACGCAGTCTGGGGGACAGCACTGCATGTAAGATAGAGAGAGAGAGAGAGAGAGAGAATACCAGTGTTGGGTAAATTCGAACGGAAAGTGATGCGTCCTTGCATGGATGGATAACCGAGCCAGTTGCTATTACAAGGTACTGGCCGGAAGGGAAATCGTCAGGGCCAGATATCTCAAACTGGGTAAACCTGAAGATGAATATAAGTGTGGCATGACCATTGATAGTGTGGTTATTTGACGACAATGCATTACCTTGCCACCATATTTTAATTGCAGCCTATATTTAAGAAGACAGAATCAAATGATGATCTCAAATCCCGTGTTCTCTAGGTTTACGTTTATGTGACTTCGATTGCTTCCATTTGTGGAAAAAGGCAATAGATAGTGTAGCGTATCCTACTGTAAATTCTCTGAAACAAGCGATCGATAACCAGGTAGGATTTGGTGAGGCGAATTACAACCTCACATTAGCTAAGAACTGTGTGAAGTCAGGTCTTCCATATCTGAGCAAGTGAGGAGGTAATTCCATTAAACAAGATGTCCAAGTCCTACCATATATAACCTCAATTATTCGAATATTTCAAACCGTCAAATATCCCCGGAAAGCCTAATTTATATCAATACCCTATCTATATAAGACAGAAATAATTCCTAGCTCAGCGTAATTGCATCTACATGCCCAGGGGTTGGGCTCCGAGGGTCAACAACGCGGTAATGATATAACAAGATTTGACAGATGAAGATCATCAGAATAACTCCGGCAGATTTAACCGCGTCAACAGAAATAACTACATTATTTTAAATTGGAAGCGTAATAGTTTGGACGGATCCCAGCCATGTTGCTTTTGTAGATAGCTATCTTGATATCGAAACGTCAGCAAAATTTTTTTTTGATATACATGGTACACGAAGCCCCCACAACCATCTGCGTCTTTTTTAAGTTCGCCAAAAAAACCGGTCATTAAAAGCTGATTGCAAGACATACAAATAGCTTATTCATGCCTAGGGAAACTAGATTAATGTCGCTGACTTCAGTAGAATTTAGCACGCTGGCCATAAATGAAGTAGTGCTTAACGCCCCACAATGCGGTACTGAACATCTTACATTAGTGTCACAACCTTTGATGATGATGTCTGTCGCTTATCCCACTAATGATTTCTTTTTGTAGATGTGTATAAATGTGAATATTACAGACTAGTTAACCTTGCTACATCATTATCGTAAGTTTTCGATTTTAGAAGAATATTGGAGGTCAATTAGGATTTTAAATTGGACCGATTTTATACGTTAAACGACGCGACATTTCATTTCCAGAATACCCATACTGGGCGACGGTAAAGCCTGGCCACGTTTCACAGAGAGTCACGCAGTCTTTATCGATATCTCGGACAATGGAGTATCCGTGCGTAGGGGTAGCCCCAACATCCAACGATGCTTTATTTGGGAAAATGTCATTATGCAAAGGTACGAAGTTGTTCCTGGTACAGTATAACAATTAAGTTAAAATAATTAAGCCGGCCTGTAGCTGTTACCAGTGAGCCCTCAAGAGCATGTCTAGGTATCGTACTATAAAAGTATCTATTTAATGACATTGCAATTTTCGCTTTGTTATTATTTCCGGTAAGGGCACCATTAATACGGACAGAGGGGCAAGCTAACGATTACGCTTCCGACGAAGAAACCGTAAAAGATTCAGAAAACGACCTGGCAGCATCTGCATCTGCCAGACGACGCGCTTCGGTCAAAGCTTGTAGTATACTCATGCTATCCATAATAACAATGTTACGATTTAAAAAAACATAATGATAGTTTAGGGGTCCATTGCTGTGTGATATTGAATTTTTGGTCGTTAGTCGATTCTTGAGTGCCGTGTGAATTTTGGCTCTGCAGTCTCTTGGACTGGAGCTGTGGAGTATACGCAATCGACCTGATGACCATAGAAGCTCCACACTTGCTTGCATCGTTTTGGTTGGACCGAGAAAACGCTTTCGCTTCACAAAGGCACAACTGGTTTTCACTTCCAAATGAAATCTCACATGTAGACACTAGGTACTATCGTATACCAAATGTCGCTTCTATTATGTATTAAAAATGTGTATATAAATCCATATAAACACATCTGATTCTTTAAATCACTCTTAGTGTCATTTATCATAGTCCCTGCAGACCCTAATGCTTCTGTGCGTGAGGAAACGGATGTTGATAAAAAAAAATCACCTCCTCGGAAGCTGATAACTACTTGGTCATGTTAGTTGTATTCACTAAAATGGGTTTTCAATTTAACGTGGGTTTGCTAACCAAAGGCATCATCAATAATGAGTCGTACCGGCTAGTATTCATTACTGTGATGTAAAAATCTACAACAGTAATTTACAGGGAGAGGTCTTTTACTACGGTTATTATTAATATGACTACCACGCGTGAGTCAATATTAGGAAAAGTAGGAAATGTCAAGATTTTTTGGGACCTATCTCTTTAGTTGGTCACACCGTTGAGGCCCTTTATTTGTATTGTACTTTGAAAGTCTTTTGCATGTTTATTCCATACGGGCTTTAAATCTCTTAGCACCGACACCCCACCAACAGGCAATAATGCCTGTTTCACGGTAAAAACCAATCTCGATCTACTACTGCTAAGAAGCTATTATCCAGTCTATTACGAGTAAGGAGCGGAATGATACTCACGCCAATCAGATGACGTTACGCTATATCGGGAAAATCAATCTCTAGGCGAATCAATCTCGAACTCGACACCACAGGACTCCGGTACCCGATCCACTAGATCCTTGATGTATGTTTTCACAGAAAATTATAGCCTCGTTCCGTTTTCGTGATGACTGAAAGACCTGAAGTGCGAAATTTAGCTCTATCAGCAATAATTTCGATTGAGTAGATTGTATACCTTAAAATCCGAACGGTTATGGAAATTACATGCAATTTCATGTTCAGTAGATTCAATGAGTGCTACCAATGTTCACGGTACCAAATGACAAAGGTAAAATGCATTAGGACACAATAAATATTAGAGGCACAAAGATGAACGGTTTCAAGCTCGTTTAGTGCTTCAAATAGATCACTTATGAGAAAGACACAACGATTTATATCAGACTATTTACAGGGGGATGAGGAAAAGTGTATAACGCGTCCCTTGGTCCAAGTCTCGAAGCCTGAACAAATCGTCGTTTTAAGAAGTAATAAAGACTTAACCGCCCTTTTAGTAAATATACCCACAGGCGGTAGCGAAATATAGATTGTCAGATTCCATTAAACTTACCAAATCATATGGTATCAAAATGTTGTAGAAACCCTATGACTTGAATGAGTAAGAGACACTACCATATCACTGAATAGTTTCAATGTAAATTGCATGCAATCATAAGCAATAATTTTCCGGTATCTTATGTCTGAAACGTAAAGCCGGAAAGAACGGGTCATCGTGATTTTTCGAATTAGACGTGTACATCTATACAACAGTGTTGCTGTAAAAACAAACATATCGCTGACTGCAATAAATTCATCGACAGTCGTGTCACCCAGGTAACACCTGTTGCCGTTTGCGTTGCAGTGGGATTGATCATTGTTATTCTAGTATGCTCATTACATCTAACAACTATTCCGAGCTTCAGAGGGGCTTTTCCTGCTTGGACACGGTCACTTGGACCCTTGTACGTAGAACAGATACTTCATACTATAGATCTCTTAAATGATTTCCTTCGTTTCTACTTGTTAACGCTGACCTTTAATTTCACTTTGGGCGTTAAAGATGCAATACGTGACTGTAAATATTATGCTGCCTTAAGATCTGCTAATCTAAAAAGTTATGTTATTCCGTGACAGACCTGCAAAGATTTTACTACACCAACAGCTACCGACCTTTCGAGGCTCATGAGAGTCTTATACAACGAAGAAGTATATTGCGTTATACGCTGGTGCTAAGATGAAAAAGCCTATCATTTGATTTTTAAATGTGAGAGATATTCCAGTTTTAACCTAAAGGAACATTTAAAAAGACGATAATCAAGCGCGACTCCGATGGGCAAGGGTACTCTTCTAACAGCCTGGAGGGCTTCGAGCTGTCACCGCTGTGATTTGGCACAAAAATGTTTTGCCTTAAAAATCCAATTCTAAGACAGAAGCCGCATCACTTTGCAGCATAACGCGGTTAGACATACAATAGGACTAACTTCATCTTGTCTCGGAGACCTCTAAGTTCGAGTTAGTAAATCTATAGTAGGAAATACGACCTGTGGCATACCGGTTCTGGATATATAAAATAATATTAGGCCGACCCCGTATTTTAACAAAAGAGCGGCAGCTCCTTGCTCCGGCGATTCGAACAAAGCATCTGCGAATTCTGTATTATTGTATGCCTTCAGGACACGTCGGTGATAAGTTTTTATCGGTATATTTTTTTTAATATGTTGTGAGACGACACTGCCATATTAATAACCTCTTAGTAAGTTGTTCCTAAATCGAGGTTCGACGCGGCACTCTTATAGGCAATGATTTTCCAAGACGCATACAATCTGTCGAGAACAATTCTAGCTGGCATCGTTCGAATAGTGTGTGACAATCTTCTAATGATACGTTTAAGCTGGCAGCGTTCTAAGTGTACTACTGCTCAAAACTTCGCAAAAAACGAAGCTTTCCCACTCTAATTCCGTAAGGCTAATCTTATATTACTATCTAGTACATAAATTTTTCTTATGTGCTCCGAGCTATAGAAGTCACTGAACATGAATGCTCAGTACGTCCTAGCCTGGTCTCTAAAACAGGCTACAATCTAACGTGGATTTCTCGGATATACGTCTCATTTAGGCTCGAATAAGAAGATAAACTTTGTAAAGCCACATTCAGTCTGTTGCTGTTAAAATGAGTGGAAAGGATGGATCAAAACTGAATACACCAGACGAATCCAAACATAGTATAGAAGGATCAACGAAAAATACTGCTACGGTTGTTGAGGCTGACAAAATAGACGACGTCAATCAGCCATATTTAACGGACACAAAAAAGGAAAAATTTCCCTCTCCAAAAGACTCCAACAGCTGTCAAGCGGTAAAATCTACTATTAACATCGACTCTTGTAATGTATGGAAAACGCCTGACCCACACAAAACAGAGAAGCTTGCATGCGTGGTTAGTTCCTCTAAGCCCGTGAAGGAAGGTGACTCTAGCAAGCCGTTGGAAACCATCAAGGTGGGTAAGGCACCGCAATTTATAAGCTCGCCAAATACCTTAAAGTCTACTGGAGATCCTGACTCTAGTAGAATATTTGAAGCGTCCGAGTTTGCTAAACCACAGCAGCTTACAGATCAACCAAAGGTCATCAAGTCGAGGAAAGAAATGGGAGCAAGCAAGGTGCAACCCGATCATACGAGTAACAGTAATACTCTTATCAACAAGATAAGTAACCGAAGCCAGACAGGAGCTGCCACAAAGACCACCGATTCGCGTACTTTGGCGGAAATCGTCACCATACAAAAATCGGTGGGACTCAAACCTTTCACTGTCACTAAGTGGGGTACTGGCGTTCAAGCTAAACCAGTCAGCCAAATGAAAACTGGCACGGCAGTCAAATTCTGTCTTTCTCCAGTGAAGTCTCCAGCCTCGGTTAAAGCAGGTGCTCCAGTGAAGGCTGCCACTTTAGCGTCTCGAGCGAAGTCGGCTTTCGTAAGCAAATCAATAGAGTCGACGCGTGTGGGTCTGCGAAAGGGTGCTGAATTGAAAGCTCCCGGTTCAGTAAAATCGGTTACCACAGCAACGCCTGCCGATCCAAAAAAAGCGAAGTCTACTTTGAAACTGGTCAAAACAGCCACCCGAAGTGGACACGCCATCACAGCAAAACGGAAGGCCACAAATAGCATAGACCATGTTCAAAATAAAAAAGGAAGTCAGCCTGAGATAGAAAAAAAAATAGTTTTAAAGAAACCCAGTGCGACACCACGGGTGAGTTCTTACTCTGCTAGCTCTCCTCGAACTACACTACGCCATTCATTATGCATTGCCGACTAACCAATTATACACCAGCCTGCAATGCTAAATTTAAACCTTACGAATATTTCTATAAACTGAAGAGTTATTTTTGTGTTTTATGTACTATCTTATGTAGTATCTTTTCTACCATGTACAGTTTTTATATTAGGCGCTTATAAAGTATGTTTCATAGACCGTGTTAAATCATTTTTATGATACGGAGAGTTATATTTGTCTCCTTTGACACGAGCACTTTTTTCGTTTTTTTACAGAGTAAACCTACTTCATGGACTTCGGCAGCTGAGAATCTGACTCCGCCTCTTCGGCTTCGACCATCAGTCGGTCCAGGCGAAAAAATCAGCCATTCTGAGTCGAAGCTACCAATATCCAGACGGTCCAGAAGAGTCTCAAATGAAAACGTAGCCGTTTCCACTTTGGACATGGGAATGGGAAAATCAAATCAGATATTAGCCTCAATGACACTGGCTCAACCGCCGACGACGCAGTCATCAAAAGAAGCAGCTGTGGCCGAACTAGCACTAAAAGCGTCGTCACCAAATACTAGAGAGGACGCACAAATGAGATCACCGCCGGGGACAGCTGATCTCAGATTGAAGAGTACGAAAAAAACAAACGAGGACTGCCAAGAACCATCAACGCCGTCAAATACTAGTTCGTGCCTTATTAGCCACCGGGCTGAAAAGGCCGTCTTCACAATTACTAAATTCCTGCAAAAGCCAGTACCGACCAGATCGAGGGACAGGATTCCAGGACCAGTGAAAAATGCCCAGGGAATGTGGATCGAACCACCCGTGTTTTTATTCGGAGATCCGAAAACTGGCAAATCTCTTTACAAACGAATAAGCCAAGCTGAACAGAGTCCATAGTCAAACCAAAGGCAACTTGAACAGATTTTGCAATCGTTATAGCGCTCTAGGTTACCTATATTATCTGTGTCTGCATTGGCGTGTGTTTATCTTCGGGCGAAGGAATGTTGTGATCAATTTTGGCTTCGTAGATTTCAAGATAGAAAAATGTTTTATAGAAATGTCTGTTTAATTAGTATATAGGATGGGGTAGAGATCTTACATTAGCGCAAAGAAGCTAAGCAATCCTAAAAGTAGATCGATGTTGACGGAGAGGTCCATATGCTCATATCATATATATATATATGACTGTTTATAAATAACTTATAAATACTCGTATGTACACGTGTATGACTGTTTATAAACTTATAAATACTCGTATGTACACGTGTAGATTTTTACCGTCTATTTATACTTCATCTAATTGATTTTATGCTCGTCATCTTTATTGTAGACAATGAACGAAGCTGTATCTGCATAGACATTTGTTGCATACTGCATGGATTGAAAGGCCGGGCATTTCACTCCACGTAATGTACCGACCAGCTAGAGCACTGCACATATCGATACGGTTGTACGTATAAGATTTTTAGCCGATGCGAAGTATTCCGCACGAACTTCAATTTTATATGGACACATAAACCTGCCGACCTGTAGAACAAAAGAAAACGACTGGTATACAATTTTGTTGAGTATTTAAAAGTAACTAGGCCGATGCGACCAAGTCTTTCGTACGAAGTATTCCGCACAAACTTTAATTTCATGTAGACACACACCAGCCGGACTGTAGAACAAAAAAAAACGAATAAAATTGCCGTTGACAAAGAATTTCGATAAACTACTGTCAGCCTAGGTTTCGAGTAAATTGACGTAAATTTATAAATATTTTTATATTTATATTTATTTATTTTATTTTTATTATTATTATTATTATTATTTATATTATATATATATTTATATGTATATATTTATAAATATAAATAAAAAAAATAAATAAATAAATAAATAAAAAACGTAAAAATAAAAAAAATTTAAAAAAATTTAAAAAAAAAGTAAAATGACGTGGAGTTCTCACAGTATCTTTAAACAGTTGTAATAAAAGTGCAGTAAATCGGTTTTGTTTTCTTTTATTACCATAACGGCTGCCGTTTCCGGTTCAATACGTTTCACAGATGGCTCTTTTCAAAAAAAAAACTTTTGTCACTTTTTGCACTTCTTGGCCGTTTAAAACCCTTGCATTTCACGTACTCCGTACGTATGAGGCCGTACTTAGTAATGCAAAGTTACTGCAGTTATTAGATATTTTTACTTTTTATCATTTATTATATTCTTTATTATTATTATATATTAAATATTAGATAATTTATATTCCTAAAATTATTATTGAATGTCTTTCTTTACGCTTACAACCACTTCTATTGTGTGAAAAAGTTTCTTCAGTATGGCATTGACGGCTCGCCCTCACTGGCTGTAATCGGGGTGAACGGAACTTATATCAAATAAAAATGCCCGCGAGAATTGACGCTCCTGCGGGCCTGGAGTGACGCACAGCATCCTGTTCTGAATTTTCTCTGTATATTGCGGAACTTTGTAGATGCGCGCGCTCAAGCTTTCTCTTTAACTTCCATTACCATGGACCTTACTTCCTTTGTGAAAAAAAAATATTTTACATAGAAAAAACGAAAAACGTATAACTAGTTGGTGATACAGTCTCACATCGAAAAACTGCGATTACTAAGCTTTCTAATTTTCCCTCCGTAACTTATCGGAATGCCATAATCGAAGCAAACAGTCAACTGTCGAAAATGTCTTAAAATTTCTTTATTCCTTTTAAATTCGTTTGAGAAGTATACAGTGTAATTTTCGATAGATCCCGCGAAATACTTGTACTATGATGAAATATATCCCGCACAGCAATCCTATTTTATCGTCTGCTATTATTTTCAAACAGTACTAGGTGAGCAGGCACATTTGTTGCTAAAAAACAAATAGTGAGCTCGATTTTGCCCGAATAGCTTATCAAATTAGCTTGGCTATTTAAATCTAAAAGACTTTGTTCGTTCTACTAAGTAATGCATTGTCTATTCTTGGTATCAGCTGCCGCGCACTTTCCCGCCCTTTTTTTCAATACAGTATGACTTTCACTGATGTAAGCACTTCTTAAAGTGCTTGTATCTGTGTTCGATTTTTGATCAGCTGAACCACTATTAAAACTGTTCGTAGCATTTTGTTAGGATACGTGATTGTCTATAGAATTAAATTAGGCCCCTCGTCCAAAAGCCCATTTATTGTAAAAAGAAATGTAGCTTGAACAGCTTTTGTCAATTTCGAAAAGGTTTCAATGTGTTCTAGGAATAGTGAAGTCGTCAGAACCTGTAACCAGTTCTCGGTGCTATTGTCGACAGTCATTACGCGCAATGTACAAGCCGATCGCCTTTGTGAAACCACAAGAGAAACATGCTGAGCTTTCTGATGTAAAGTCAGAATCGCCACCGCCTACAGTGAGCCGTCTTTCCGGCGAAGAGGCGCAATCGTTTTACGAGGACCTTCTTGGCCTTCCGTCCACGTCATATCCTGCTCCGGTTATAAGTACTAGTCAAATAGACAAATGTGAACAGCCTATAAGTGACCCTTCGAATGAACAAGACCCAGTTAACCAACCAATTGTTGCAAAAAACCACAAGGTTTCCCCGAAGGATCTGTTTCTGGCAGCTCAAAATGGCCAATACAAAGAGCTAAGGCGAATCCTTTTTGCTCGAACTCTAGATCTGGACGTCCAAGATGCATTTGGCTGGAGTGCACTTAGTTGCGCAGCGTACGAGGGACATGTAAGTTGCGTCAAACTCCTACTAAAGTTTGGAGCGACGCGAGATCTCCGAGATAACAAGGGTCAAACCGCGCTTGACCTTGCACGAAAGCGAAACAAAATTCGGGTGTACCAGGCAATCAAAGAGTTCGGTTCGGAAAGTCAGGATAACAATGACAGATATGCTGAAGAAAGCGTTATAGCTGAACCCGAGAACACTCGGTGTACATTATGTGGAGTTGAATTTGACGTCGAACAGCAAAAAACACACGAAAGTTCGATTGTGCATCGAGCGGCCGTGCAGGTGGCTGTGGACCCTTCATACGGAATTCCCGAAGCCAGTATCGGATTTCGGATGCTTAAACAGATGGGTTGGAAACGTGAGCAAGGCCTTGGGATCAATAGTCAAGGAAGAAAATTTCCTGTGACAACGCAGCTGAAACGGGACCGTGAAGGTAATTTTCTCGATGAAGATCAATGTATTATTGTAATGGTATAGCACGATCAGGAAGATTTGCGTATCGTTATGTTGCAGTGTGGTGAAAACATATTAGATGATAACATACGTTTTCATAGACGCTCGGGCGTTTTACGTATCAATATAGAATGCTTAAAACACCGAGGTGTTTGATTTCATTGTTCACATGTATTCGCTCACCAATTCATATATAATTACAGGCAGAAAGTTCTATAAAATGTTCACATCTTTTCAGGTTTAGGTCTTACCACGAAGCGATTCAGAATCACTCATTTTAACCACAAAGATCCACGTGCGGTTTCGAACGAAAAAACACCCGGAACGAAAATCAGGAGAATGTCCAGCAAAAAAACAAGCGATAAAAATCTCGAACGAGACTTCCGTCGGGCGTTCTACTAATGTTAATATTACTTTGATGGACGATGGAAATCTATTCAAATATTATTTGAACGATATATTTCTGGTTCCATTTGTTATTAAGTAAACCAAATATCTAATCAGATATTGACAATTAGTTAAAGCATCATCCACATCAAAAGCCCACGACTATGTAGCAATAAGACCTTATTTCCAGGATAAAAACACTACCATAGGCAGAAGTGTCTGACTTCAAAGTTCTATACCGAGCAAGTTATATATAGTAAAGCTCCACGGCTGTATAAGCGTTCAATTTTCCTCTAATTCAAGTAAATGTAATAGTTGAATATCGCATTGTTGAAACAGCCATCTCATTGAATGTCCTTAGCCTTTTCACTAAAGGCAGGCATTACCTTTTTGATGAATAAACGTGCTATGCACATTAAATAGAAGTTCAGCTACGTTTCGTTTATTGAACACAGTAGTACAGAAAATAGAAAGTGTAAAAAATACTACTAACGTTATTACTTTGGTAGCGCCGCTTTGTAGGGTAAGCCCCAACAATACTAAAACAAAATTCCGCAGATTCCTGTACGATTATATCTCTCGTTTGTAAAGCTTATTTCGAAAAAGCTTCTGTAATTAGGATATCGCTACAAAGTTACATGGAATATTTTGTAAAGAAGTTGTCAAAAATGCAACACAAGAATATACACTTTTTTCTGAAAAGTACAAGATGTCGGTATCGTATGCTTTTTTAGGTGTTCGCCCATCATATAAGGATTCTGTGGTTATTCGATAAAACTTTGGCAATATGTGTGTGACGGGTCTGCTCAGTGTCTGTGGAATGATCAAATTGTTGATGGTAGAAAGTCGTTATAGATAATTACCTGCTTTCGACCATACAGGTCCGTTACCTATTTGAATTTATTTCTTGAGAATCGATGGCATATCATCAAATATATAATAAATATTAAAGGATTAGGTCATGCGGTACACATTGTTGTATGAAGGTTATAAGTTTGGAAAATCAATGAATTTTACTTAGCATACATTTGCATAGCCACATTGCTATTTCATTGAAATACGCTCGAATATCAGACGTCAGGAACATGCATTAAAAACGATAAGGGTGCGCTATGTGAATCACTGACAACGCGGCTACTCTCAGTAGTTTCTATCGAATTTTGCTGTTTACGAGATATACGTAATTCCAATTGCCACTTGTAAACTCGATATTACGTGAACTTACATGGGTGAATCCACTACCGATCGATGTAGTTGCCGTAATTTGTAATTTTCGAAGTCAGATAGGTTGCTCTGGACCCTTGGCTCACAAAGTAGTTTTCAAACTAATCCATCGTCACTGCGAGCGAAAAATAGATCACTACTGAGACTTACGTATAATATGACAGCTCGTCGTTGCTCCTGTAGAGCAGCCCAGAGATACTGATGATCGGTTTAACTAAGCGAACTAAGCTTAATTTTAAAGTGGAATAATAGTAATAATAATATTTTGTTTACTTATATACAATCAGCGGCGTTTATCACACCCTTAATAGCTTAGTTAAAAATGTATTCTGTTTGTATAAATTTTAGTGATCTCAAGAACGTTTGTCTTAAGAGCCATTTCATCTTACCCAGGTTTTGCGATAGGATAGGGTTTTTAGGAGTAAATATAGAGAAGTATTCATCCTTAATCGTACCGAAAAAAGTAAAATATAATATCGCGACACAGATGATCGATATGGTTAATACGAGCAAATTTGACGATGAACTGAAGGTTACACGCGAATGAAAAAGCAGCGTAATTGAGACATATGCGTACTTATCATGTTTATTAAATTATAGTCTTAATAATTTTATTACGTAATCGCAGACACAGACATGTCCCCACGATCACATAACACTGACAACTTCCACAACAATATCCCGTCTTTTACATTAAATCTACACGCCAATGCAATAGTAAGACTTATTTGAAAGCCGACTGCAATAGCGACCTATTGAGCATATACAGACGACCTATTCTAACAGATTAGTCTCAGATGACCTATTTTTACGAGAGCCTGGCTAGTTATGGATGGTTGAATTATTGGGTATGATACGTCGTACGCCTGGACACTCACATACGTGGACGCAAGTTAGTTCATAATTATCGAATGAAAACAGTTACCAATAATTAAGGAATAGATCGCTAGTTTTCATCTTCAAATAACAAGCCATATAGTATCTTATAGAACTATAACTAATATAGTGATAATAAAGACGGCGCATATTGGTTAACATGCACAGTTTTTACGTATAGGTAGTGTCTCTCGTCATGTTTAGAGTGAAGAAAAATCTTCAACATACTTGTAAGACAGTGTAAATTAATAAAATAATCACGCAAAAACAATTGTCAGTTGTGGTAAGTGGCCTTCTCGAAACATTGGACAGTGAAGGTGGATCAGGCCTGTGTCAACGATTTATGTAATATATTTTCATGTCCATATATATATCGTAGTACTCATTGTATCACACTACTCTTTACATTACACAATACAGGAGTAGGACACCCCCATAGGTGATTGATCCCCTCGGCAAGAAAGTAATCACGACATGCCTTTTTACTGAGCGTAGAAAAATAGAACCTAACGTGCTTTTACTCGGAAAATAGAGATGTTCTGCTATTGGCCATGACGACCACTTTTATATTATATACGTTGGCAGTTTCGAAGGAACTTAAGAAATCTGTAGCTAGCCAAGCTGTATTAGCGTCTTGGTTTTTTAAATTTGTCTAGGCGATTGCTATATATATATATATATATATAACAATCATCTAAACAAATTTAAAGAACAGCAGCCCCAGTATCTTAGCATTTCAATAATGTCGCCATTAAATTGCGGGGTGAACCAATCGCCGATGGAGGGGTTCTTGCCTCGACGAGCTCAAAGCATAGTTTCTGCTTTCCTTCTGCTTGGACAGTTTGTAGAACTACATACTTCTCTTATTATAATCTTTTTCTCCTTTGTCGTCTATTGGTTTTTCAGTGAGTGTCTATACGGCTTTCCTTCGCAGGTATGTAAATGTCCGCATGTGTGTCTGTACCTTGTGTCATTAAATGTCAATCTCATATAGCAATAATAATTATTACATAATATATATATATATATATATATATATATATGTATATATATATATATATATACTTAATATAATTTCATAAACGAGCCTCTAACGGAGGGCAACGCAAATCTGAGGAACCCCACGGGACGACTCGGGCGCCAGCGGGGCCAGGACGCAAAATGCCTTTCAGCAACCACACCGATTCTGGCGACAGCTCATTCAAAGTCGACACTGTAAAATTCAAAAAACAAGTCCCCTTCACATGCATATATCTATAATATACAGTAACTCTTAAAATACTTTATCTTCTCTTCACGCTGTCACATATCTTCTCTTGCTCCTTTACCCATTTGGATCAGTCGAATAATTCAAAAGCAAGAAAATACCTTTTCTGATTAGGCCTCCCTTGCTTGTTCAGTATTTGGTTATCGTATTGTCAGGATCTTCTCAATTATGACATACCATTCATAATAATGGTGTAATAAATATGTCTTCTCGACATTATATTCAGCAAAGCATGTCACATAACAAGAATACTGTACCATACAGTAGCCGAGCGCACTACTAGAACGTTCAACTTGACTTGCTTAGCTAGAAAAGCACCTTCATCCAGGTTTATAAATCATTTTCTTATCGTCTTCAAGTAGCATAGAGTAACCGTCTTTTTTTTTTCTCTCTGCACGCGCAAGCTACAATTGCTTCGATTACTTTCTATGCCACTGCAGTTAATGCTGTTGTTACTGTTGCAGATCGGTGTGTGCGCCGGCCCATTGCGGTCACGAAGGCGGGAAGGGCCTTTAACATTTTCCCTTTTTCTCTGTTTTTTAGTTTCTACAAGGAGGAAAAATAGGTCCTTCCTGGATATCAGCATCGACTTCGCCCCCGCGACCTCACTGCTCCCATACACACCTATGTATATACTTATATATATATTTCTCGAACTCATTTATCTAGCTCTTACTTTTTTTCTATCCTCCATTACAGCAGTTGTAGTATTTTGGTACTAATATAAGTAATAGTAGTAATAATATCATTATTATCATCACCACCATTATATCATTAATGATTAAAGATCAATGCTAGGGCGCGCAGTGTTTTTGTCGACATTCGTCTGGAGTCCGCCGTCGTCCCAGTGACTAGGGGTTCCTGCTATCACCCAGAATTTGTATCTACAAGTATTAAGAAGGCCCGAGGGCCAGCATCTGGCTCGGCAGCAGAGGCGCCACCACTTTGTCCTAGGCCGTCCCTCCCGGACCGAAAACCGCGCAAAACTCTATCCAAACCAACGAGCTTTTATTTCAGTCACAAAACATTCGTTTCATATACAAAATCCACCAAAAAAAAAGTTTTAATAAACACAGACAAACATTTTCTCATTTAATTCGAGCACGTATTCGGTACTTTGGCAAACCCAGCATGCTCCCCCCATCAACAAAGAAAAGATCATATGAAATCCCGCAAACATCTAAGTTTCATCTCACATCCGGCAAACTGAGAACACGTAACATTGGACGGACGACCCCCTCCCTAGTAGCCACGCCCCTGCATAATTTACCCTCTGTTGTATGTAAAATCTTGTCTTGTTCTTGTTGTTCATTTAGTTATTTGTTTCGGGAGTGGTTGGCATATATTGTCGGCATCAGTGTGGGTACGTGTAATTTTATGTGTGTAATGTTAGTTCATTGTATGCCCTTCTTTAGACTGACAGTTAGTTCTCCGTTAAGAGAATTGTGAGAGATATTACCGAGCCAGAACGCCAACGTGCTTGGGTTGCCCCCCGCTACAGACAAAATCGAGGTTGCTTTCGTCTAAACGTGCCCGCCGAGTTGCGTTCTGCGCTCCCCGGCTTGGTGACCAGAATAATCAATCAGCCAGAACTCGTTAAACAGCTCCACAGTTAAGAGTAGTCAGCAGATCGCTCTTGCAGAAAGCATCCGCTCACTGGACAGAAATTTCATTTGTCTCTTGATTCATTCCTAATCCGATTATTATTGGTTTTTTTTTCGGTAAGATTTAGATGATCGTATATGCAGTCATCTATATTTGTACTCCGTAGTTATTTCTTTGGTTGAGTCATACTATTTATCAGGTTGAAGCAATACTTCTTGTTGTTGAATTCTCTGGTCGAAATTCGGTCGCTAGCCGGGGTCTCACGGGAAGGGATGTAAGAATATATCAAACTGTCTGCCAGGTCACGCTAACAACTTGGCGAGTTCGCTGTCACGAAACTGGTTTAAGCTTCATTACTTTTATATTTTCATCTTTTTTTTTTTTTCGTTTTCATACTTCACGGGATCGTCTCCATTTTCCGCTTCATCCACTAGCACTATTATAATTCTCAATATTTCTCATCATCACAATGGCAAAGGCTTACCATTAGTGCCCAATTTAGTTTTAATAGATAGCGTATACGGTTTTGTCAATTGGTGAGGTCTTCCAATCATGAATTGTAGTTACTTCCCTCTTGTGCTTGCCTTCTATACGCTGTAACGTGGTTCCGTGTTAAACTTATTGTCGTCTTTCCTCCTCAATCTCTAGCATATTAAGTGAAGTATTTCAACGTTAATCTTTCTTTGTGTGCTTGCATGTGCAAAGGGGTTTTTGTCGCATCGAGTCACAATTTTCTCGTTCTATTTGGCCTCTCCAAATTACTGTCTGTATCGCCCGGGGCCTTCCCGTGTTCTCTTATCTTTTACATCGTAATCTATGATGCAGTAGCGGCTTTGGCTGGCTTTCTATCGTTTCATTTTTTCTTATATTGGCTACACTTACAGGCTAGTTTCTACGAATCAAAGATTGTCAAAGAATAAACTACATTTCACATATACGCCGCCCTGGTAATACCGTGTTCGTGTGTATTGTCACTTCTTTGCATGATGTTCTTATCTAAATATGCCAGTTGGCAGAAATATTTCTCCCACTTGCGGGCTGTGACCCTCAGCATATGAGTGACATTACATTACCATAAGTTTAGGTCGAAATAGTAGTGGTGACAGAGAGAAATGGATAGGCGGACTGTTAAATCTTATGTATGCATCCATAGCAGAACTTTATTGTTGTTGTTATTATTTCTATTACCATCGTTACTATTACGAGTTATATAAACGATAAACGATGGGCGAGAATGAATAAGGCAGCTGAGACCGCAAATGGCTTTGTCAGCGTCATGTGTCGTAGCAATAGATGGTGTAAAATGTCGGCTTTTTTTTTGTGAATTTTGTTTTTTTTTTGAGTGCGACGCAGATCTTCCGGTCGTTATAACTGGCGGCCTGATATCGCCTAATAATACCGAATGGACGGCCTGTACCAGTAGCACCCCCGATACACATGCGCATAGTTCTATGAAATTCTATCGGCAATCTGTAATTCGTACTAATTTGCCTTTGTTAACTTAGTGCTTTTTGTTCGTTTGTCTTTCCTAATTGTTTTATGTCTTTTTTTTTCATCAGAGCCGAACGTATCCCATTTCACTTAAAAGATCCTGAAACCACCCAAATATCTGCTACAATTAAAGCCCAAGGCGATTTTTTGCCAATGGCGTGTGACCTAAAGCGACATCATCATCGTTTCTAAATGTTCGTTTTCCTATCAAGTGTATAGTGGGATTAAACTTAATGAACTTGTATCGTTTCTGTTATTTTATTTTTATCAGGCTCTATTTAGCAATGGAGCGCCCAAGAACATGAACTAAACTCGCCCATTACTAAGCTTGCTCCCGTCGTTTTCTCGCTTGTCATTATTGTAATCAGTCGTCATTACGTCACGGTTTTTTTTTGTTGTTTACTTAAGCAAAGCTTTCGACTGCTCCGTGCAACATTTCTCATCAAACAATTGTCATCATTAAACCATTTAAGTATAGCCCCCAGCGTAGTTTATCGACAACTTACACCTGAACAATCCGCTTGTATACATTGTACCACTTCGTGGTATGTTCATATGTCTAAACTAGCGTCTTTATGCTTTGTGAATGTCAAGAGATGTAAAGTTCCTGCAAGAAAGCGTTTGCGCAATGTAATATAATGATCTGCTGTCCACTCATCACAACTAGCGCCTATCGATCAATATACAATTAAGCAAGTATTATCTTCATTGTGGCAGTACAATCGATGAACGGGTCTAAATGTTACATGATTCAATAACCATTTGTTCTCAATTATTACTGCTGCAATAGTAATCAAACAGACTAACTACGTCAGTGCTCTGATTCGATTACATCGCTCTAGACGGTCGACCGTCCCTGTTAAATTAAACACATTGTTTAGTTTTCGTCAGAATTGCAAAAAATATAATCAAATAAATAGTAGTCACATTTAAACACAACATATGTTCTGGTGCTGAAGATCAAGAAGACGTTAAGTCTCGTATAATTATTTTCCTTTATCTGCAGCATTATTCACAATAATACATATATGAATGTAAAGCAACGTATTGTTGAAAAGCAATACATTGTTGGAATCAAAATACTTGATTAGCGTGCACGTTTGTCACCTTTGTTTGATGAACGTATGTACGTCACGTTTAGTGAATGTTCGCTTTAAATTGACATACACTATCGTTTAATCGTCATAATCGTTTCGTGCGCTTTTTGTTTCTTGAGAATCTTTAGATCACGTGTATCGTGCACAATTAAAGTGTTTCTCCTCGAGTTGTTTATCTATATCATCGGTTATTAAGTTAACAATGCTCTAATTATTGCCACTGTCGTGGCATGGCTTTGCCTCTGACTATAGCGCGGTGCCTATCATTTCTCGTCGGCCCATGGATCTCTAAACGCTGCATCCCAATACAATGCTTACTTTATTCTTGTAACGAAGAGCTTTTGCCGTCATTGGCCTGATTAGATGCTTCGATAGCCACGCTCCATGATGATCCGTCAACTATGTAAGCCCAGCAGATTTTGAAGCTGGTAATACTACTACATCGAAGAGTCATTGCAAGACGTTTGGCGGGCCAACGAATGGCAAACTGAGTACTTGCAGCGTGGCGTTTGCCTACTTTTTACGCGTCATGATTTTTAGGTACTGGAGGGCATTGTGGGATGCGTTCATTTTGGCGAGCTCTTCTGTTTCGCCTATACCGAAGCAAACGGCCAGTGGTAACGTCGTCAGATGACAAAGGCAAGTCGCCCGACCCTCGACGGTCTCCGCGGGGATGTAGGTCACCTCGAACTTCTGCTCGTCTGCAATTTCCCGCAGCAGACCCGTGTAATTTAGTCCAGATGTGCTCAAATTTTTGTACTGTAGATCATTCAGTTGGGGACCATTCGAAGACTTAAGCTGCTTGAGGATATTGGACACCTGTTGAGAATGTTTGGCGGTAATTGTTGGAATAGGCTCCGTCTTCACTATTTGCAGATCGCGCATCTCGTCTGCGAGTTCGGAGAACTTTACTTCAAGCCCACCGCCTGCGACACCAGTTCACAGCGAGGATAATAGAATAAGTAAATTAGTGATATGGATAAGCATTAACGCATCGATGCCCACAATTCACATTTTCAATGATTCTTTAGTACGAATAGTTGATGATACTATTATGCAATTTTCCCAAGTTATAATAAAGTTAACACATTTTGGCTAATCTAAATAAACAGAGTTCTGTTTTTTTACAAAAAGAAAACAAAAAAGTGATACCGTATTCGACGATGGCATCTATACAACAGAAAAAATCGCTTACTCTCTCCATTGGTTGTTCCAGTCGTTTGTAGTTTTTCAATGAGTTGAATCATTTTGTAGGCGGCTTGGCGTTTGGCTAACCGCTTGCTCTTGCCGAAACCAATTTCAGTGAAGGTATTAACGACGCACATGATACCAAACATGCGTTCGTGCGGAAGCCCTTCTTCCATCTGTGTCTCGTAGAAAGGCGGACGCCAGCGTTTCTTCATACACAATTCCTAAACGTGTATGATCAAACATAACTTAGCCAAATCATTGTTATCAAGTATATAATCAATATATATATATATAATCAAAGAAAGTTTAACTTTTGGAGAGATGTGTTCGTTTCTAGCATGAAAAATGACTGTGCTAAATAGATAGCTAAAAATAAATTCACCTCTGATTCACTGCATATGGCTTCTTCAGATATCTGTGTCGAGTCCACTATTCTTTTCACTCCAGTGTAAATTTGGCATTTATATGTCTTTGATTAGTTTAGCAAAAAAAATACTTCGTTATTTGAATGACAATTGCCAATTATCATTACTGCCATCAGTTATTTGTACCAAAATTTTACCAAAGAGATACCGTAGAAATAGCAATAATTTACCTGAAGCTGGCCAACAGGATTCCCGGGAATCCCGTCATCTTCCCCTGCATCTGATCCACCTCCGTTAACAGTATCGGATGCGCCGGATGTGTTCAAAGCTGCGGCTGCGGATGAACCCTCTTTCTCGCTGCCGAGGCCATCGCTCATTCCTACAATACCCTCGAGTAGAAGTGGCCTAATACACAGCGAAATCACAATGCATAGCTAGATTAAACAACAAAATAGGTAAAAAAGAGTATAGTTATCCTGAAGTGATATACTAATTGCAATAATCTTTATATGTGCGGTAGCGCAGTAGATACTTCAGTATGGACACAGGAGTAAGAGCAACTTACTTGAGGAAGACGAGCGGTCCACAATCGTCCTCGACAATCTTTTCGATAAGAACCTTTGCAGCGCAATGTTTAGCCTTTTTTTTACTTTGTCCTGATGCGGTTGCAAATACTTCGCCTACTTCTACCCTATGATAATAAAATGTAAATGATGATTTAACAAAGTTTAGATGCGACTTAAATGTGACGCATTACACAAACAGCTCATTTATGTGATGAACATGTATTTCGTGAAACCTAGACAAAGGTATGGACACAATGGTAACCTAGACAAAGCAAGACAACTTAAATATTGACAAAAAAACAATCGATATCTACATAGTTGAAACAATAACGCACGTCAGTAGAAATAAATGTTCATACCTATAGAAGAAGGTAGGTGCGTGAACTGCGCCCTCTACTGAGATGAGTTTGTACTCGGGAGTGAGGCTCTTGCGACTGCACACCTCCTGAAAAATATTAAAAAACCCGGCGTTAGTAGTTCTCTATATCCCTTAGTTTGTTATGCATTGGTATCGTAACGGGTCAATTTGTGAAAAAAAAATCAATATTTTTCTTTGTTGCCTAATGCGGTGTTCCAAAAACCGGTCCTCGATGATTCGGTTATGCTAAACCTTTTCAGCCTGTCGTTTTCCAGTGGCCAGATGCTACTCAACTTTGGGAAAGCTATTTTTACATCTGGTATTAAAGCCACTTGGCATTACTTGATGGTTCCCAGTACGAAATGGAGTATGTCCACGACCGGATTCAAACGTAGACCACCCTGTGTCCTTAAGTTTAGCAAGCACATATGGTTCCCTTTGCGCTATCATGGGAAGATTATTATTACGTTTAGAAAGTTCCGTTTTTACCATACAAGCGTTGTTTTATATACCATTTTGTCGAAACTATCAAACAGTGTCTGCCATCCCGGAATCGAAGTAAATGTTACATTTATATGAATAGGACTTTAAATCTTAAACCAACAAAATATGCTAAAAAAAAACAAATTAGAAAATTACTGCTACGTTAGGAATAAGGTTCAAGTCCCATATATTTATCACTGGCTTATAATTTATTAGTATTTTCTTTTGTCATTGTTACCTTCTTTGTTAAGTGTTTTAATCTCTTCCATGTTTGTTTTTTAAATTAATTGTGCCGGTCCATTGTGAATTGGCTGTCCATCGTATTATTTATCACCCAATCATTTTGGAATTGTTATTATACTTTTTACGTATTGAAATTTCGTATATATTTTATTTTACAAATGGTAACAACTTGTATGTAGAAAGCGTGTTCTAACGCTGCATAACACTTGGATGTTAGCATTCAACACCCATAACACGACAAATTGTACATGGGAACTAATTGATACATGCATAGACATACACATTTGATAGTTTCAACTAGTTAGAGAAGACAACAATTGGAGATGATCAATTCGTTCCGTTTCCAATTGACGATCATTCAATGTGATTCTATGTTTCCATAAAATATAATAGGTCTGCTCTCATCAAAAATGGTTTTGTACATGATAGAACTCTGAAATTGACATCACAACTGGGTTCCAATGCCTCGGTTTTCATAACCTAGTTAATTCATTCAGCCAATGAATTACAGGTAGATCTAATACCCGAGCAAAATTCGAATACAGCACTTACTTGTAGGACGCTGATCGGCGTCTTCTGGTTGTGCGCAGCCGAACTGGCGGCCGCTGCGGCATTAAGCATTTCTCCTCCAACGAACCCCAGCGAACCAGGAGCACCGGCAGGGGAGCCGGCTGTCGTTACGGGTCCCGGCCCGGGTAGCAACGAAGGTCCACCACCCAGTCCGACGGATGGACTTCCCGATCCCGTTGTTTGAGTAGACCAAACCGGATCCATCGTTGCCATAATGCTACCGAATGATATTTCTCGGTCGGTAGACGATAGTGTCGCTAGCCGCTCCGTGCCTGCCGTTTACGGGCCTTATGCCTGCAACAGGCTCAGCTTCACCACAACAGAATTCGACCTATGAAAAAGAGAAACCAAGAAACAAATAGACAATTGCGGATAATTTGTAACAATCTACTTACCACCTTCTTAGAATGAAATTACTTTATTGTGGCGTATCTGAAATATAAAAAACCATCATCATACACGTAGTTTACTAGGTAAGCCAATATATAGTCTTGTCCGCTTCAAATCTAACCATGCTACTCCCAGTATGCAAAGGGCAAGCAATACCACTGAAGCTAACTTCAATATTAATCTGGGCTAAAAATGGGAAGGAACATCGGTGCTAACTACTAATAATGCACTTACGATATCAACTTCGAACAATCGCAAACATGCCGCGCTAAACTTGTTTCACTAATATTTATCAAGAGGGAGTTATTTCTCGAAAATATACGCAATAAGCGCCCGCATTAATTTAAGATGATTAACTTAGATACGGTTTGCAAACGCTGGTAAAACTATAAATTCCCTGTACAGGCCATTTTAGAAAGTTGCATTGCGCATACCTAGGAATGACACGCTTTTAACAAACCAATTGCCCAGGCGTTCCACATCTAAAAAGCATGCGGGAAACTTTAATACGCTCCTTATTATATTCAACCGATTATAAGTTGAAAGCTTTTGGTTACGAACGAAAAAGAGACAACAGACCTCACTTCCCGCATCATCGTTTCAAGATATTTATGTGTTTTTGCTTTTCTTCGTGCTATTACTGCTACTTACGACTAAAATATGCCCTTTTCTTGTCTTGTGAACTCTGGGAATTATACACTATAAACATTGCTAACGAGTTTGTATACTAGGATTTTATATTTCTTACATCGAATCGCAATTAAAAATTGTACCAAGTTTACAATGCAACGGTGATACACTTAGTCCATCTAGGTGGGCTACAATCGAACAACGGAAAAGTAAATTTAAAATCAATTAGATGCAAGCACTTGAAGGATTTAAGCTAGTTTATTTAAGTACAAAAAATGAACGTCGAGAAAACTTGAGGATAGAGAAGTGTGATATATTCCACAATAATATACGCGAACTAAATCCGCCGGAAATATGCTAAAATTACATCATGGAAACGGATGTACGGATTTACCTCCACGGAAACCAGCAGCGATCAATGGCACACTTTAATAACATATTAGTGGTTATTTTCTGCTATTCTCAGGTGATATGCAATAAATTATCATCATATCTCTATGTACTATAGAACTTTTTTACATTCTCAGAGAATGCTGTGGGCCGTTTGCTTTCTGCGCTTAAAGGCACAAGATAATCATCATTCACTCTGTGATGACACTGGTCACAGTGAGCTGATTCGCAAGTTCTGAACAAATCTTCATCACGTGAGGAAGACATGTGAGTGTTACAGAATGACTATTTATGTGTTTTGATGCAATTACAATATGCTACGACTAACTTGCATACTTTAGATGCCGCAATCTGTTGCTAACTCTGCTATACCGTTATTGCACGGTCTAAGTGGCACTATAAGCAGCCTTTCGATGCTTCTGTGCTCATCACAAACGTTCATTATAGAGAATTAATTTACCAATATATTAAGCAAACCACTTGAGCTATATTTCTTCTCTGATAAGCTTCAGAGAGCGTTCGTAACCTCACCATGCGGTGTAGGAAGTCAGACTCCCGGATACAGTGCTCAAATACACAGAGACAAAGCACTTTTTGTGCTCCCAGTTAGAATTGCGAAAACATATATACGGCGCGTGAAATGCTAAACAAAACACACCAATGAGCACTACCAGACAAAAAGGGGCTGAACACCTCTAGCGAACATCGATTAACCAAAATGAACATCAAGGCGGGTAATAGTGTACACAGAAAGTTTCACATACGCCGTGTGTGCAGGCGCTGCAGCATGTAAGAAACATCTGATCGGACACCTATTCGATTCCAATCAGTTGTGTGTTTATAAAACGTTTATTCACATTTATTCAACTCAAACAAATGATACAGAAGGATTTCGCTATGAGGGAAGCACTGCATATAGCGTGTAACGGGAAATTGGCACCTGGTAGTTAATAGAAATGCGTTTTCACTGAACCAAAAAATGTCCGATTGTCTAAAAACGGCAATCAGGCTAAAAGTTGCACACTTTAACTTCAACAACGACCGTTGTTGCTGCTAGAATGGAACTCCATTAAGTTTGTAGACCACCGTGGGCGAATCTTCTGTTGTTCTCAATATCACGTAAAGATGAGTACTACCGAAGGCGCAGATGTTCTTAGAGTACTAGGTTCAATATTCGTAAGCGTTCTATTTTTGTCCTGTATAGAGTTCAAAGAGCACGTAGTGATATGGTTAGTCCAACGACGCGATATATAATTACCTCCATGCACAATAACTAAACTCTAAGCAAGACCCCAGCCAGAGTTGACTAGCTCTAGGAATTGTCTCCGTATTCGTAAATTCACAGATTTACAACTGCGGAAAATATCGTTCATCCAATTGCACCCTCTTGAGCTTCGTTGTCCGTACAATGCAAAATTTCGACGAATCGCAAAATAACACCGACCCGCATAAGTGGTCGTGCGTCCATTTGCTGCCTGCTCATTAATGCAGCGAGTGCTCCGTAATGTTTCAGTGAGCTTGGCCAAGTCTTCAAAGTGAACCAATACGCTTAATATTGTAGCATTATCATAACAGCTTAACGTTTTCGACTGTGTACATATTGCTAGCACGGGTACAAGGAAAACATTAGATAACCATTCAAACAGGGACAACATCGGCACTATTTCCCACGGAGTGGCATCCTTCGAACACTCGCTCAGAGGGTATATTGTGGCTATCGAGCTAGCGATGAGCTGAGCGATCTGATTCGCTATCAGCCGTATTTCGTTGATCATCAATCATTGTATGCTTTTCAGTCACACGCTGGCCGGAGCACGAAACTCACCGAAAACCGGCGCACAATCGGTGGCAGCAGCGACACTCGCAAAACTTCACACTGCTGTGTACGGCTCTCCCGCTGACTATCGATGGGTTTATTCTCTCGGTTAAGGTGAGTACTGCGGTTCGCATATGCCTACAGTAGAAAAAAGTGTTGACGACAGCGCTGTTGTTGTCCGCTTGGCCGCTTTGTCGTCTGCTTCGCAGTGGTAAAAGAGCCTCGTAGAGCCGAGTGTTGAGAAGTGAGTGCGGCCAGCCAAAGCAAGCACATGAACGAACGCTGGTTGTGCTGTCTGCAGTCTTATGAAGCTTTGTTGGCTGCTACCACCGCTGTGGAAGCGCCTCCTCGTTCGTGTCGTGTGACCAGTAGTTTCCATGAAAGCAGGCGTAGACTAGTCGGTGACCGCAAGGCGATAAAACAGTGGTATGAGAGGACCAAGTTAGCGTGTGACTGAGTGTGAAGAATGCAGCAATAGCTGATATTATTATTACGAATCAAAGAATTACACAACTTCAACTGGTTTGTTTTTAGTGGTTGATAAGGTTAACTTGTTAACCTTAACCTCTTCTCTTGCTATTGCCGAGACATCGCATGACAACCTGACATTTGATGCAATGAGATCTTTTTGTAAGGACACATTTCTTCAATGAGTGAGAGTGAATTCATATTTCCTGCGGATACTCACCACCTAGCGAGGATCGTGAAAGGCGGTAATTTTTTGCCTTATTCTGGACGTGAGCATAACCTTTCAGCGTGGCAAACGGCAAAAAGTAGATTGCTAGCAGTTCATTTGCAGAGAGGTTTTGACGGTTCCAATTGTTATTTATGTTCATTGAGTCAGAGTTTGAGGCTGACTGACAAAGGGCGCGAGTCTTTCTATAGAGTACATTGGATGTATAGAGGTGCAAACAAGCCTGTACAGCGCCTTCGTAAAGGGTTCGATTAATAGCATTCTGGAATGTGAAGCATACGTCTAAGACCACTTGGGAAATCTTTAGGGATATCAACTTTTTATTAAATAATAGTTTAATTAAGTGCAGTCTGCGGTACAGATGCCATTGCTAGCCATGAAACAATATGGCATTAAGCTAAAAAAGTATAAAGCATAGGCTAAAGGCATAAAGCTAACATATCGTTTATTTTTAAATACACATATTTAATCACCTATAGTGCATACAATATACAAGTGTATTGAATCCTAATCCACTTTTTTTTTATATACAATTTCGCAATCTTCACACGAAAACGTTGTTGTCAACTAGTGTCGATATCAATTTTACTATCTTCGAAATGACTGCGAAAAAGCGTTTCACAAATGTCTTTTCTGTGAAAAAACAATCTCAGCGTTATCGTATTCATCCTATAGCGTGACGGTCACAGTCGGTGGTGAGCCCATGGCGTGACTGGTAATGAAAACAAATCTAGAAATAGGTTATTTGCGTGGTATAAGTGAATAAATTTCATTGACTATCCCAAAGCAGGTTTGGTAGTATTTTTTTGCGGGTTGTTCATTCATACAAACGATCAAATTTTAGTAAAATCTGCTTCGAGCTATGAAAAGTTATACCGGACCAAAAAATACAGACAGTTCTTTTTTGGTACTTTGGACTTGAAGAGTAAAAGCAACCTTCAAAGTACACTGCAACTCCAACGCCAGTTCTTCCCACGGTGTTGTGTGTTAAATCAGTTGCACAATTTTGTCCCGTTATACTGAGGAGTGACTGATTTGTTATTTATCTTTATTTACTGAAGCGGTATCGCTGGCGTACAAATACAACTTAAGAGCACCAGGTGATTAGATGGTAGCTTGTAATAGTTGACAGTTTTAACTAGTTCTAATAGATAATTAGGAATTGTCGTCTAGAGAGCAAACTCGTTTGTGCTAGGAAGGTCGGCAGCCATTAGATGGATTGTGTTCAGGTTCCTCGGCAGTCGGATTCGGAGTATGTAAAGACTTCAAAGTGATGGCGTTCAGTTCCAAAAGCGGTGCTCCTGCCATTTTCATCATGCGGAGTGCCTCTAGGTAGCTAGGTGGATTTTTGGTTACTTCTTTGTAAGATGGCGGATCCTGCCGCGCTGTACGGGTACCAACCGACGCTGCTGCGGGTTGTGATAGCGGTGCTTCCGTTGCGACTTCAACTGGTCCACTGTCCTCGATTGGTCGGAAGCAACCCGTTTTTCTCCAAACGGTAACCAAACCTAGCAAGATCATGTAGAAACAACACATTATATATTGTTGTATTTTTCCTTAGACCGCCTGTTCTTTGGTTCCGAACGAACTTACCGTTATCATACACAATTTCATGTCTCTAAATATAAGTAAAATAAAAAAATATAAAACAAAAAAAAATCATTGCAGTCAGTGTACAAAACATATACGCATTCGTAGAATATAGGTTTTTTTTTTATAATGCCAATATATAGTTAAGTTACGTATGACGCAACAGCCTAAATACGTCTAAGTATTAAATACTCCAAAGAGTTTAATATACATGTGGGGGGTGTCTATTGTCGAAACAAGCTCTGATTGCAAGGATTTACGATCAATAAAATCATTATTTGACTAGCAGTAATGTTTATCGGTTGTATGCCAATTACTAAGTCATTGCTGGGTAGAAGATAGTCGAGCTTAAGTAGTAAATTCGCTCAAGTCTTCTTATAATAATTAATTACATTTTTGGGAGTTTCAATGAACAGAGGGATCTTCAGACGAATACTGTGGTGATCGAGCTGACGTGTGTGAGATACTGCTTACCATAAAGCCAGCTGCCGAGTGCAAACATTCCGAGCATGGTTCCCTCATCAATGTCATAGGCAAATCCCAAATAGAAGAATAGTATCACCAAGGCTGTACCTAGAAATATCGTGAGCAATAACGGTATTAGAAAGAAGTATTGAATAATCTATAACTGAATACATTATGTCGTCAGCGTCTATACGATTTACGGCTCTTTACGAAATTTACTTGTGAACTGTAACTAGAGCTATTCTTTTCAAAGGTCCTTGGCTTAGATGAGACAACGGAACTTCGATTTTCAAACCTCGTGTGATTCAGATGTGTCTCGTACGCGGAACTCAGGGAAATCTTGAACGTTAGGTAGCTTCGGGTCTAAGCGGTCACCAACAAGGATGAAAGATTGCAATTAGGTATGACTTTTCCAAGCTAGTTGAAACACTCCAAAGGGGGCCTGATAATAATGATGATAACAGCTATTCAATACTTATTAAAGAAGAATTAAAAAAGCTTGTATAAACGCAGTATGTCTTGCTAAGGTCCTAGACTGGATAACTTCCTCTGCGTACCTAGACCGACAAGAAGCATAATAGTAAACTTTCGTGTGCTTAGTAAACTTAGATTTATATTGGCGAAGTGTGCACACAATAACTTACATAGATGAAATCATAGATGACTAAAAGTAAAAAAAAGAACATGGTTTATTTATTTATTCTAGTTGCTGTTGGTTTGGTCTGCGGTGACCTGCGAGTAGCTCCGCCATTGTTGCTACAGTTTGCATCATCTGTTTGTTCCGTAATTGCCATTTAAACAAAAATGGGTTTGAAACGACCCTGTAGACATTTTCGTGTTCGACTTACTATTTATAAACAAGCATTTTTTGATGAAACGCAGTAGTGCTGGCCAGATAAATCACCTGTATTGCACATGTTCTATTACATACATATGCACACGTTACGGCTCAATTGGGGAAGAATTGTTTCAGCTTATTTACATACCATTGAATTTTGAATACATTACGCACGTTATCAAATAAACGAGCCTCTATTGATGGCGAAAGCTAACGGTCTATTTCAGTATATCAACATCTAGCGAAATATTTATTAATCGCTAGATGTTTAAACGATCAAATCCTTATTTTTTAGGCCAGTTATATTAACAGATCAATAAGCGAACTGGTTTTCTTATCGGATAAATTTATCTTTTTACTCGTCTTATGGGTTATGCTTAGCAACATAAACCAGTATAAGTGATATGAACGATACACATTCATTATACGCTTAAACTATTTGGCCACCCTATGCTGAACTAATATATAAAATAATTAGGTAAGATTTTTGATAATTAAATTATGTTTATTATAGGTTGGGCTATTCGTTTATCTTCCATCCACGCTATTTTTAATCATTATTTGATTTTTTTTTAGCATATACTGCTGAAAAACGGCTGTCATACGAAATGCAGGGCTTAATGCGTTGTTTATTGAGAAAATGTATTTTAGCTTTGCATCGTGCAGTTAACACTTCCATCATTGTGTGAATGATAATTGTATGCAGAATACACTTGAAAGATCCACAGTTTTCCAATATTGTGGCACTCATTCTCCTAAACTTCTATTACCTGTTGTCGATTAAAGTGATCCGATATCTGCTTTGATGAAATCTGCGTTTGTTGTTATCAACAAATATCATCACTAATTTTGCCAGTATGGCGAAAAGCCTAGATTAGAAACATTGCTATAATTGTTTTCTATACGAAAAACCAAAAAAAAAACAAAGTAAACATTTAGTCGGGATAAATTAACGATAACTGTTTTAACGTTATGCGTCTGAGAAAACAGTCGGATACGTCGGTCCACTAGGCTGATCGTCGAAAAAAAATCGGTTTAATAATATGCTAGTACCTGATTGAATACTGGTAATCTGCCAGTAAAATTAATAGACTTTTATAGCAAGATAGGGGAAAGTTGTATTGAAAGATATGATCAAACGTATTTTTAATATGCAAACGAATAAGGACACATAAATGGCTTTATTTCATAGGTAGATCAATAATGCGAATGGAACGATTTGCGACGGTCCGCTCAGATCGCAAGGTAACTATCGGGCGCACCCAATCAGGCAATATTACTGGGTCCTATCTGTTTATATTAGGCATTTCTATGGAAACTGAGATCGAGTAAACAGCTTCGCGCGCTACCCGTACTAACAAAAACAGATTTCCACACACAAAATTGGAATAAGCGTGTCTTAACATTTGAAAAAGCCGACGAAAAACTCTAGCATAGGGAAGACTCCATGGATTGGTACCTGTGGCAAATCCTGCTACTACAAGGCAAGACGCTAGAGCTCGACAAGCCGGGGTTTCCTCCATATGGTTGTTCGGTGTCATTAGCCATGTGTAGAATACCGAGAGACGCCGAAATCTGAAAAGAAACAGATGGGCATCGAAACAGGCAACGATAAGAAAAGATCCTAGAACGACCTATTTTATGATGATTTACGCAAGCACCTATCTATCATCAAAGGATCATCATATATATATATATATATATATATATATATATATATATATCTAATCACACATTATTCGACCTGCTTGTATCAAAAGCATTCCTTATAGCCTGCTTAATCTTTTCAGTGGAGCTAGAATAGGCTAATAGACAACATATACAATGTGCGCCGGTTGTACAATGTATAATTCAGTGTAATGGCAATTTGCTCGCTCAACTTTTTCAGACCTAAAGCGCTAACAAATGTAGGACATACCTTCTAAATCTTAGCGTAAGCAAAAGGTAATCATGGCATATCGTGATTATGACGTTTCATTAATCTCAATAAAAAATTTCAGATAAACCTAGCTTGGTTAGATCTTATACTGGCAACAATTCCTTAAAGCTATACTGATGAAGTCATTCTGAAGACTTGTTCACACAGTAAAAATAGCGGCGTTTTTTCCAAAAAAAATCTGGGGAAAATCTTGATGACCATAGGTAACGTGGTGTTGGTATATCGAGACGTGTTAGAGTTGCACTTAGTTCGAAATGTTCGAAGAAGGTTCCTTCACGTCGATGCAAGAGATTCTTAATTGACTCAAAACATTCAAACGTAGAAAGTTACGAACATACGCTTCTGATGACTCTGTTTTTCGCTTAATTCTTTAATAGCTATTTAGGAAACAAGTGGAATCACAACGAACGCTCAGGATGCTCGAACCACGGCCTCAGAAATATTATGGTTGTGGACTAATATAAAGTGCGCCCATTTACAAAATTTATTTAGTCTGTCTTTCTGAGAACCTGAGTCTTTCATGGAACAGAAACTTCTTTCGGATTTCATTCCTCTAAATTTTTTGTTTGTGGCGTAGGGCTACACGGTAAGAAGTAATGGGGTCCATCGTCGACTGTGTGAAACCAATAGGGTTTACATCTCGGTTATCGGATCTTCTACTTGATTATTCTCCTGTTGTATTCAGAACATTTATCTAACTTAGTTATAGAAATATTACGATCGTATCAGAGCAAGTTTTCTATAAAGACGTTCCTTTATCGGCTGTATGAAATAGGAATCGGTCTAGGATTAACTAGTGTCAAGATTGTTCTGGGTTCTGTTCTAGGTTGTTCTGGTTGTAAATGCCAAAAAAAAAAAGAAACCTTTTATCAGACTGTACAAAATTCCTATAGCAAATCCACCTACTACCACCTCTAACATGTGTCTTTTTGAAGGCGTGTCATCTCTTTGGTTTTCATTACGTACAGTAGTTGAGTAGAAGATCCACGTTTTATGAAAAGAACTATTTAATACTATGGTCGTCCACTATATAGGAAATTACGAACGACTTTCATTTCTTACTTCCGTACGAAGACACATTCTTGCTCGGAGAAATCAGCTTCTTGATGTTCTGCCTCGCCTGAAAAAAGGAAACATCTGAGCAATTAATACCAATTAATCAGCTTCATCAACACCAAACGAGGTATCTTATCAAGGAAAAGGCTTCGGATTTGATACTCCATTAAAATAAGATCAAGATGAAAATCCAGAAAAATTTAAGATACAATTATAAGCATTTTCCTTAGCATCCAAATCAGGTATCCCATTTTTAACGTACAGCAAACGTTGTGTTAAACGTACAGAAGAAGTACGGGCGTTGGTCCGAAACGTCTAAAAGGTTTGCTAAAGAAATCTAAGAGCGCCCCAGGTAAATGCAGAGCCCTGCTTTCTGTAGGGACTGGGTTTTTCCTTACCGGACGGTGCGCAGCAACGATATCGATAGAAACTATTAGCAGGACCTGTTTTAAACTTTTTATTTACGCTGCGATAATGTTTTTGTTATCGAAAAATCCAGTTAATCACTTTGTGTCCAAATAGCGTAGCATGAAGTATACTTTACCACTCCGGTATAGAGATGCAAGAAAAAAACGAGATATAGAAAATATATAACGTGGAGCGAACAGAATGGATATTTACTAGTATGCAGGACATCTGGAACCATAGTATTTATTTTTACAAGCAAAATTACATGAATTCCAGCGCAAATTTGCGACATTTGTTCATAACAGCACGTGCTACTAAGAAATAGTTCCTTTGCTTTGTTGTTTATTACTGTCCCTATATTAAGTTTTTAGAACGTCCAGTAAGCGTTCATGCATACATAAATATAAGGACGTGTCTAAGAAAGAACAAATACAGACGGGACAAGTTATTCAAAAAGAGAATAGGACAGAGCATTTGAACGCCTAAAACAGTTGACACATCGAGACGTCAGAGATAATTGGATCGTTCGGATGACGGTAGCAGAATTCATATTTTATGCTTTATGCAACTAAGTATTACCACTTGAAGAAATCAACTATATTGCGTCGTGTGAATATATTAACTTTCGATTTATAAATTATATATATACTCATACGTATACAACCTAGCAGATGGCGTTTAGTCCTTGGTATACAGGATGAAGCAAAATCACTTATATTTTGCAGATATCATCGAGTTGCGTATTGCCCTGTACATTTATATAAATCCTCTTACAACTAGACGTTCATTTGATTCATACATAGACAATTGTAGCTTTCTATTCTAATAGATTTTGTCGCATTTTTGAGGAGTTATAAACATACATCAAAAACGTAAACAAGCCTTATTATTATATTATATTAAGGGTTACAGACACGTGACAACAAATTTTCAATTTTAACATTTTTCATTTATTGGCAACGTTACGCTTAGGGTACTAATGTGTACAACAAGGCTGAGTTAACATGAGGGAGGAATGTTTTTTGATGAGTTTGAAATACCAAGATTGACTATAGTTCCGAAAAACAAACTTACTAATAATCATATGCTAAGAAAAATCGACGCTCGCATAAAATACGTGTGTTTTAGGGGGCGAAAGGGCTACGCGAAGTAAAGCACTGGCCTCTCACCTAAGTTTCTAAAAATCCTACATAGGAAAGAACGTCGATGCTGAACAACTATTCTGTATTAGCTCAGCGGAAGCTAATTTCGTACAAAGTAAAATCAGCTATACTGACTAGTTCGAAAATACGAGCCGCGTTTTACGAAAATTTTCGCACGCCTCATATTATTGTACACTTATTGAAGTCGTATTACAATCAAGTGGCAACTATTACAGTCTAAGATCTTTGAGATTTGGATCTGTGTTTTCTGCTAAATGAATGCACTTACTTCTTATTCACGAAAAAACCCTCTCACAGTTCCTACCTATAGGAATAGTTTAATTTGTTAGTTATCCTCTGTCCTCCATGTTATATTTTATGCATATTTATGGTTATTCTGTACATTGGCATATATGTAACGGTAACAGTAATTTTTCTGGTGGATCCCAAATTATAGTTGTTCATTGCAGGCGACTCTACCGATGACGAGGATCCTTGAGGCTTTTCATCAGCTTCGTTACTCTACTCAGCCTTTCGCTCGCTTACGACATCATTATATTTAAATCCTAAACATCACCCACGAGCGCCAGCCTTAAGGCAATTCTTCATATCGAATGTTGTTGTTGGAGCCGTTGTTGATACCGCTGCTGTTGCAGCTGGCTATTGGACGAGCACGCTTACAAATTGTTTTCGACTGACCATGCCAGGTGGATCTCACTCGTACGGAAACTATTTATTATTGCTTTGCTTTTTTAACGACAGGGGGCGAAGCTCTATCCGCTCGCAAATTGTACATCAGAAGCCAAGCGTTCATAGACTTCGCCGAAAATGACTGCACAATCCTATCCGACGTGAAGACTCGTTGTTTTCATCCATGATCGTGGCCTGACAAACAACGCCTACTTTCTCCACTACTACAGCCACCGTGATGATGACCTGCTTTTTCCTTCAATCTGTGGACGACGTTCGTCTGTATTTCGACTTGGGTTAATACGCTTATGCCGCATAGCCGCCTGATCTATTAAACTGCTGACGTTTGTTCGGGATGAATTGAACAACTCAATGCTTGACAAATCATGCGCTTCGATTGACAGCAGCGGGCCTGCAACCGGTCGGGAATCCAAGCTATCCATCCGCTACGTATTGTTATCTTCAGTGTGTGGGTGAGGCTCCGTACGAAAGCGTGCATCTCAACTTGCAAATCTCATAGAGGTTCCCATACAGCGACTGTTCGAGGCACTTGACCGACCCTTGTGCCTTGCGAAGTGCTAAATTCAGTACATCGAGATATGAACGGTTCGTGTGTCCAAGACTGGACAAAGAGTCCAAATGGAGTCAGCTCTAGAAGTAGCCAAATGTCAAACATGACAAGACAAAATCTCTACTGGTCCATCTCTACAATAATCAAAGAAATACTATTTTTGTGCACGACCGTCTAGTTTTACATCTCTGGCGAAATATGCAAATAGTTTGTCGTTGGAGGACACACGCTGTAAACGGCCTTGGCTTTGGTGAGTGAGCAGTGACTCTGAGCAGCAGTAGTCTCAATGATCTGAAACGTCTGACACAGTATTCGGCACACGGTTTTTAAGTCGACTAGTGGCACCCGTCTCTACTGCGACTGCTGTAGATCGCTTTCGTCCCCTTTCACACATACATCTATATTAAAACTCTCTGAACGCCGCCTTCCTTCACTGCATTGAGATTAATTTCAGGTGTCAACGTAGATCGATGGCTTCTCAAGTGTCTTACGAGACTGCCGTTGATCCAAGTCATCTGCGTGGTGCCATGCAGGAATTTTATAGACGAAGTTTAGTTGACAGTTCTGCGAGGGGTAGTTCAGGGTCGATGCGTTAGCAGGTATGTGTATGTCCCGTGATTGTGTGCCAAAGACCCTAATAAACACGGTCAGCTCAATCGCGAAACACTGAAAATGATGCCTAAGAAGCTTGCGAGTGTACGAATGGAAACGGTCCGTTAATCCGTACCGGTCCGAGTGGTCGTAGTGCATATCCACACATGTTTCATTCAAACGTTCACGTATAAGGCAGAGGTTATTATTCGAGCGTGAATACGTTATCGCTCCGTGCAGAGCGTGGACTCAGCACCTTAATGCACCGTTCAAATGAAACCGGTTTGCTTCGACTGACTGCCCCCTAGCGTGAGTTAATCACTAGTTCTGAAAGCGCACATATTACATTTGGTCAATTGAGATTAGCTCTGTCCATGTCGTTACGTGATATTGCTTTTTAAGCTACTAATAATGGGGATTGGGAATCGCCGATTCAAGACACCGCGTCGTTCGTACTCTACAACGACGAATTACTCGGAAGCTTTTCGAATTTTACATACCTACCGTATGTCAAGCAGTATTTCTAAAGAGGAAAAAACTTCTACCTTCGGTCAGAACTATCAGCGCTAGGAATTCACTAAGGTTTCAGAAGTACACCGACACGCAAACGTTTGTCAGGATAAGAGGTAAATGATTGGTCTGTTTAGATAAGCGATGGCCGCAATCCTGATGATTTCAGCCGAAGTGCCGCCGCTGCAAGCAAATTTGATTCACGTAGATACGAAGCAGAAGAAAGTGGGATCACTGACCCACTAACGAAATGGCGACTTAATTCGGTCCAGCCCCAGCCGTTTCCTATATCTTCGCAGAAATATAACGAATTACTATAGACTATATATATGTATGTACAATGTGATGTGCGTAGCAGCGTTCGTTGAAACGATGCCGTCGATAAGAACTAGCCATTGCGAATTGGTCAGTATCCAATACGGACAGTTGTACAGATGCAGACGGTCAGTCACAACCGCAATAATAATAATAATGATGTAGAAATGAGGTCTACATATATCATCACAACACAACCCCCATGCTGAATGACGAAATAACTTCTTTTAGATGATGTCATACATGAAGAACTAAGCCAAAGATACATAAGACGCCACATATACCGGCAGCGTGATGGGGTAAATTAAAGTAAGTTCAGTGTAAAATTCAGTTTACGTAATAAACGCATCAATTGTCTCGACAATCAAACTTCATAGATTTTTTAAATCGAATACGACATATTCATATTCGAATTATATGGATAATTTCACAAGAAGATGTGTACTTTGTTCTCTTTTCAGTTAGTCTTCTTTGCAGTGGCGTTTCACTGTTAACAAATGTATGCTGATATGTATGTAAATATTGCACGGCAATCTGCAAACGTCACTGCGCAACAAGTGCATCGCGGACGTCGTCTGGATGGCGCCGCCATGCTGGAAAATTCTTCCGGCAACAACACAACAGTCATTTAGACAATCGCTATAGTGAGGTTATTTGGATCAGATGCGTGTCACAGAAACGAGACACGGTGTTTAGGCCTCAGTGGATCATCGATTGGGTAAACAATTGTGCCAGTGCAAGTGGTACACACGTCGGATCTTGTTCACTGCTCCGCAAAAGGCAATCCGGCCGTCGGTAACTACTGTCAATTTGGCCAAGCGTTTCCGGTATCTTTGAAAATTACCATCATAAGTATAGCTCATCGGTTCTGCGTAAATAGCGAAGGGTCTGCATATCATAAATGCGATCGGTGCTTTCCAGCATAACCTCATTACTGTATTTAGTGCGTGTAGTCAATATTTCTTACTTCAGATACGTTCCCCCTAAACTTTGCCTTTGAGAGATAGAAAAACTCAGTTACTAAAGCCAATAACGTGACTTGAATAATTCATCTTTTGTCAAAGAATGATTAATCATTATTATTAAGCTTAAGCAACGGCTCTATGAAAAGGAACGAGAACGAAACGTTAGTCCAGTATGTGCCGGGGCTAGATGTCCCCAGGAAAAAAGTTGCATGAGGCCGGTGTAGTCCGTCCTAAGACGCTTACAAATGAAGGGACAAAAGTTGCTGAGAATTTTCAGTATACGTTTTGTCTATCATTTTTGCAAGAATTGAAACCTTGTTCATTGAGATTTCCTCGGGTAGAAATTTCCATTGTGAAGCAGTGGCGTACTACATAACGTTAACTGTTACGGTAAGCTGGTGCTGCGACAGCGTTACATGTTTAGGAAAAATTTCTGATCGTCACAACCGAGCATAAAATTTTGCGATCCTACGGCTATAAGCCAGGCACTATCCGCTGCTGTGCTTTCGAAAATATGATTCATCAGGGTACTCAAATTATGTCGGAGGAGCTGTATGTTATCTCATAGTACATCTTCTCTTTTCACGTTGCAGAGGGGTAGTGTTTCTACGTTTGTGCCAGTGCGCTTACCAACCGTTAACTTCGCGTGGCGTGTCTGGTGAAGAAAGAGAAAAGCTGCGCTCAGCTCAGAAAAAGCATATTTCTACAGTGACTATTAGCATGTAAAACAACTGCACTTCGTGAAGTTTCACTGTCACAATGGAACCTCAACGTACACATCAGGTAGACAAGACCGCAGGCAACAAAAAGTAGCTGCTTGTCTCCATTGCGATCCATTTCTGTTTTCGTAATTGTCTAACAGTGATTCGTACGTGTAAAGAGAAAAATGAATAGCATATATTCATAAAATACATGCACGTTTGAACGTCAATTTCTGTTGGCTGGCGTGAGAACCCCACAATGATTTTTTCCATAAATGAATTTCTAGGCTAAAAAAACAAACAAGCATGGATGTACAACGTCACTAGGTAGCTAGCAATATGATGGGATCCCACACTAAGTTTCCTATAGCATAATGAAAACGATTTCATTTCTACCTTAAAAAACGACAGTCGGGTAGCCAGCTAGATGATAAACAAACGCTACAGCGTTCAGCTTTCAATACTGGTCGCAATTAATGAACCACCTAAGCCTAAAGCATTTGTTTCTATTTGATAACAACTGATAGAAAAAGAAAGCATCGTTATAGCACTACCGCTAGATGTGAGAGAGGTTGGACTGAAAAGAAAGTCATCTTTACCATACTTGCATAGGCTGAGTAAACGTCTACTTCAAAAGAGTTAACTGCATTTGCTATAGTGATCCGACCTTCAAAACATGTAACACTTACCGATGCATGACGTACGTACGTAGCGTGGTGATTTCGTTCCGAGTACATCGTCCTCGGCCAATAATAACCATCAGACACACTTTATCTTTGCGCGAACAGAGTGACATTTATCAACCCCAGTGCAGCACTTTGTCCGTATGTTTCGTCCTACGTTGAGCGTACTGACGTACATGATCCGATCCCCCAAACAATGGCTGGAGCATTCATTGCGACCAACGTTAGTGCAAGCCAACCATGATATAAACGACCGAACGCGTCATCATTATCAATGTCGCCGAGCTCCAATGACCCGAAGTAACTCGCTCAGTTTATATCGGCAGAGTATATCTGTATCCGTCATTATGTAAACATAGGCGTTGCATTGCCCTAATCCTGTTACCTATCTTTGTCTTTGCTGTTTGTCATGGCAGTCGCCTTCCCTCCCTTCTAGTACTGGCTGGGTAGTTACCTATTGGGTTACTGCGTATTGCACACACCACAGGCACGAAATCATATAGCGAAAATAAGGAGAAAAGCGCTAGAGAACGATATTTAGCCCAAACATAGTTGTTTCTGCTCGAGCGCAAATCCCATTGCAACCTTAGACCTGACTTCGAAATATCAATGGGTGTAACAATCGGATTAGGTCTAATCGACTTTTGTTCATCTCATTATTATCTCCGCATTAGTGAAAGTCAAGAACTTGATGAGATTTACTGAAAAAAAATTATGATGTTAGATTTTGAAAAATATATAGAACTGTACTAATGCTTCGAGTTTTATACTGCCGTCAAGCATTGACTCAGACGACTGAGCTCTGAAAAATTCTATGTCTACGGCCGGTTTCGAAGCTAGGCATCTGTGTCCCTGCGCCTACTAAACGAACGCGTCGCCACTTCACCATCGTCGTGTCTCTGTGCACCTAGAATGGGTAAATAAAATCATCGCTATCTTGATTGATCGTACACGCTTGACACGTTTCTATCAATTATTTCAAGGAGAAGGACTACTGGTGAACCCAGTGGTCGACGCGGCATAGTCGGGATCACGTCAAAATCAATATAGCGCCTTAATTTAAATAGGTACAAGTCGAGTTGAAAAACCTTATAAGTGCTGCTGATTCCGGCTGCGAGTCATCATTGTCTAGCGCAATAAAGATAATTTTCCCGAAGGACAAAAGAATGCCACGTTAGGGTCCACGTGATCGCCTAGATAGACCCTTAAGGTAAGACTTTCACTACGAAGAGTGTATACGCGTTTGTAATAGGGACTTTCACTTTCCTGAAGCACGATTTCTCTATTCTATCCCTCAGATTACCCTCTATCTAGTTCAACGTAAATGACTGAAAGTAATCATTTTTACTGCTTACTTACGTCATAGGCAAGCCTTAAGTTTGAACGCTCGGCTTCAAAAGCTGGCTTTATCGAGCTGCGATCGAATGCTAGCAAAAGTGTTTTGTCAATGTCTGACAAAACTGATATCGGCCTGGTTTGAAATGCAGACAAACTTAGCAATCGCACACTTCGACGGCAGTAACAATACGCCATGATCGGCGGCTTGAATAAAGTCGTTGTGGAAGGATTCATTCGCTAGCAACTATCCCGTCACCTATTCTAGTTGCCCCAGAAGGGGCAATAAATGGCTAGTGTTGCATTTTAGAATCTCGCCTCATCGTTCTATTTGATTGAGACTGCAAACACCCTATTCGTAAAATACAACAACTGGCGCCCGATAACTAAAGAGGTAAACGTTTGTGCGTAAAGCACTTGAGAACTGTTCGTCATCCACAATCTGTCATTCGCGATCTGTCGAACACATCCAGCAATCAGCTGTTGTCCTGTGAAGAATGCAGGGGCCTTACGTATATTTCGATCGGAATATATGATATCGCCAAATATGATAATTTCGGATGCTTTCTCTTTGCTCTCGTCAAGGACGAATAAAATTGCAGAAATGTAACATGCTGCAGCATACCCATTGGTATGTAGCTCAGTTTTTACTTAGGTCCCTTCTGGGTCGGGCTTCTGGTTTACAATAGGTAACAGTGCTCGAAATTGACTTGCACGGTAAAGCATATCAAACTGTCATATTTTATACATATGGACTGTCTATTTTTAGCCAGTTATTCAAGAAGAAAGCTTTTTCGATGTTCTGCCTGTCACTGTTATGATGATGACGATGAGTTAAGAAGTCGTATTAGGATTATAGCAAGAATAGCTATCCAGATCGTTTAGCTGGTAAAATATCATTAATGAAATGACCCTGTCTAATGTCGCATAGCACTAAGCGTGACCCTATAAGCGGCTTAAATCTAGTTCTATACACCAACTAAGCGTAAATCAGTGAATCAAGGTAAACACTATTGCCTAAAATGTTAGAACGGTTATACTTAGGCTAGAAGTTTATGAGTCAATTATAAAGTAAATATTGCATATATTCTAGCTATGGGGATTACTAAGTCAAATGTTAATGGCAGAGGTAAGTATGGAAAAAAAAACGTATTGCATCATAATAATATGATCGTATCTTATGTCAAACATAAAGGCAGCGTTACCTACAAATCAAAGAGACAAGCCCTCAGTATGTTGTTTCTCCAGTGAACACAAAGGTGACTACCTCCTATTCCAAAGATTTCGGAGCACTTTTATCCGTACATATCGTTTAATTACTATTTTTGTGTATTTGTACATTGATTCTGTCGTCGGAGACATTAGCGACAATGATAAAAGTTCAACTAGTTGGCATCCCTTCAATGCTAACCACGAGCATGCGACCATCGCTGGTTTAAATTTAGCTTTGACAAATGCTCATTACGGCATGTGATTACCACGCCGTCTTACGAGCCGATTAGAAAAACTCGAAACAATGTCAACAAGACCCACCCCGGCTAGACCTTCTAGCGGGATCAGGCTCTTGACACTACACCGCAGAGGCGATTTTGATCATTTGTTTACGCAGTAAAAATAGCCTCGAACGCTAAAAAACCTGACATCGCCTTGATTATAGATCATCGTTAAGTGAAATTCAAGTGTAACCCATTCGAAAGGTCTGGGATGGCCTCGACTGAATCTCGACTATGTCTATTTCTGTGCCTATAACTACGCTAGACCTCGCCTTGAACTAAATAGCTACTCAACGGCTCAATAACTACACGGACTGATACCGTACAGCTTAGTTTATGTAAAAATCGCTTTTTTTTTTATGCTATCGACTTCTTTTGATAACGTCAAAATAAAGCAGAATAGCTAATCATCACGCACATCTATTTACACGTTATCTGTGATTACAGAAATCCTAGATATGTTTAACAGAAATCTAACGAAGCTAGAATCTGTTAACCTCGTGAAAGCGCCGATTCGTTAGACGTCTATTTGGCTGACCTAGTATTGCCAATCCTATAGATAACCTAACACCTTGACCAGGATAGAAGACATTTAATTTCGACGACATATTTAAATACGTCAGATACAATAGGATAAAGTTAAAACGGTTACATCGCCCCAGTCCATTGCTATTGATCACTAGCGAGGGTCGAGGTAAGTAGAGGGCTAGTCATTTGTTTTTATGCAGGAATATAGGTGATATCATCGCCATTATTACCAATTACGCATTTTCTCAATGTTATGACACTGAAAATAACGTTCTTTTTCCATTCTTTGTAACGAGCATGTTTGGCGTGGACCAAAAAGCCACCGAAAACAAAAAATGTCCTTATATTAACGGAATGTCAACGGATTGTTTTTCTTTCGACTGGAAGTGGCCAGATGATTTGAATATCCATATATAGGATCGCTACGGTACCGATGGCTGTATTGCTGTTGAAGTGGGTGTGAGCTTTCTTAAAATATCCAGTTAATTTTCGATTGATAGTTGTCCACGATGTCAAGGAGAGGCGTATTATCATTAAGTACTTGCTTCGCTAGCTAGATACGCGCAGTTCCAAAGATGGACAAATATATATATATATTAATTGTTTCTACTCATGAGTGACACTAGTATATCCCGTCCCGACAACGAACGACACCTGCAAAATGTTTGACGTCACCTCATATACAATAATAATGCGGACTTGTTGCCTAAAAAGAACACGTAAACAGAATGCAACACAAAAAAATGCACAATCTAAACGTGTACAGGTGTACCTACCAGGCGTCAGGAAGCGGTACATAGCTTCCTGCTCATCGCCTTCCTTCGTGCCGGTGTAGGCCATCGTTCGAATAACGCAGCGTTAATTGAGGCAATAATTACTCCGATAACTGATGAATAGTTTTGCAGTATACGCAGCTCGCTAGCATGTGGAACACTTGCTAAGGTTATTGATCTGTTCCTAGGACCACGTACGTAACTTTGCTCCGGTCCGTCTAAACGACCTGTTTTTCTGTCATTATTAGCTCGTTATCACGAACAGCCCACATCTGGTATTCGTGATGGTAGCATCTTCAAAAAGTAAAATAACTGTTTACCATAGCACTCACTTCTATATCAAGCACATTGTTACTGATTATTTCAATTCAACGTCATTCAGAAAACATCAACTCTTGTTATCACTAACAACACGTACTCTGCACGACAGGTCAGATATCTAGCACCAATTGAAGCCGCATATTATGACAAACAACTCGGCTCTTACTATTTTGCCATTTCAGTACTTTAGTGTTTCCCTTCGTAGCAGCGTAATATGGCGTTTGTGAGAATTGCTTACGGCAGACCAGTTATAGCCGCTGCTTCGAGCGACGCTGCTCACAGGACGTAGCTCAACTCAGGTAACGAATGGCCACTAGGTCTGCTATTCGCTCGCTTAGCTTTGCCTCTGTGGGGTCTCACGTCTGGTTCCTCCTTTACGTGTTACTGGCAAATTTTCACATACTTTTAGCAATTTTTGCGGCTGTTTCGCGTTTATCCATCGGTTGATTCAGTCGCTTGAGTAGGAACCGTTATGGCCTGCTGACTGATTATAAGTATCATACATATATGTCTCTGGATACTGCAAATACATATAATAGACAACAACCAGTAGTTTTCCTGTACAGGATATGATCGTGTCCGGAATGCCAGCGACCGTAACTAACTGTTCGTCGTGGATCGGTTGTTGGGGCGCTGTGTGAAGCGTCTGGCGCAGCAGCTCCGCTCAGTCTGATTTGGCACGAAATGACCCAGTCACGCCAAGTTCTGCTTTTTGAGAACTGTTCGCCAGCTCGCCTTCGTCTTCGCTGTGGTCAACGTAGTTCCGTAACGGTGCCGGGGCGGGCTGCTCCAAAGGCTCTATCTCCAGTGCCATCACTCCCTTGCAGTATGCTTTCCAATTTCCCTTCTTCCCTTTCTCTTGAACACATTTTCTATAGACGGTGCGTTCATCTGAATGACGGCTGTGTCTGCGTGTGCGCGAGCCGAACCCAATGGCAAAAAAGGGGTAGAGCATTTAAACGTTTATGCCATAGTTGTCGGCAGAACTTTGTGCCATTATCGCCGCAGTCGTCGGACACTCACGAACAGATCAGTGTCTCGTCTTCTTTTCTACCGACGACAGTAGCATAAGGAGTGTTATTGCAGTTGCTGTCCGCGCTACTCTAGGTGTCAGCATAGCGAATCGATGTAGGCGGACTGGCAAGTACATTGATGATAACGTTTCGCTGTCGCCGCCGCCGCTGCTGCCGTTGTTACTGTAGTAGATGGTGTGAGGAGAAAAACTAGATTAGGACCCAGCCCGCCCCACCCCAGCCAAGTGGGGGCCGGCTAAATTGAACTTATAGAGCTAGTAGCATTTACTTTCGAAGTAAAATAAAACGCTATTAGCTGTGCTAATGGTGGACTTGGCGGCGAATGTATCGTTTGGGAGTATGTCGGTAGACGGAAAAAGTGGCCACCCGGTTGCTGAAATACCCGTTCCTCGTCACAGCACAAATATCTAGTTGTGATTCTGTTCGTGGTGAAACAATAAACTTGGGACGTTTCACGGAGCAAGCAAAATTACTCCATATTGTCATATTTTAACACGGAAATGTAGACAACGACAGAACGAAACTATACGAGGGGAAAACATTCTACCGAAATTCGATGCATCGCTGTTTAGTATCGATCACAGGATAAGGATCTGTCCGATTAGGGGCTGGTTAACGAGCAACCCAAACAGACAGGTTGGCAACCTGCGAAAGTGACTGCGAAAGGAACGCCTTTAACGCAGCCATATGAAGACAATTGTGTTTAATTTTCTAGGATTTGTAGAATACCTATTACATTGTTAGAGTTGTAGGATATTTACGAATACGTAGAAGTCAGTGGGTTGAGAGTCTCTGAAGGTTTTATTTGACTGTCAATGGTAGCTTAAGTCATTCCGATCTTGCCCCAATAATGCCCCATTGTGAGAGAGATTAATACCTACGTAAAATAGCATTACACGGAATTCGCGCGAGAGAGGAGAATAATGCCGTATCTTTTGTGTCTATTTATATTCAGTAAATTTCTTTTTTTGCATGTTTTTATTCTGCAAGCGCTTTTTATTTCTAACTGAGCTGCCCACATTACGTTACTCCAATTGGCCAAATCAGTGTATTCTTTCGAGCGTTAACGCGGAAAACACACAAGTCCCTATTTATTAGAAGCCTCGTCTATACACAACTTTTTATTGTAATGAGGCACACCTTTAATAATATATGAATCCTATCGTTCCTGAACTCGTTCGAATAAATACGCATGCTTACAAGGTTTTACAAACCCGGAGTCCATTGCGGCGTACAGTATGGATCCCAGCTTGTTCCAGCTGTTGCATTTCATGTTTAAAACCCCGCAAAAGGTTCGCGTAGCATACGGGCGCTAGCGACGCAGCAAAATGGCAGATATTTTTTCCCAAGAACGTTGATTGTTTCTTTTAAATGATTCCTCCATCTTGTTGTACGGTGGACGATTGGGAAGAGATCAATGTTCAACGTTTGCTGTGATAATCTATCGACTCCTTTATAATGGCTTGCTTCCTGATTTCGTTTTAGGATGAGCGTGCGTCCTTTTTTGATCAATCGGCACCGTCTTATACACGACAATATAAGAACTTGATAAGTCGGTCTTGGTCGTTGTTTCTAACTTAAGTATCATAGCCGAAACGGCATCAGGCCTGTCGAAGGGTAATTTCGGCAGAATTGATTTAGTTTTGTGTTTGGGAGTTTGAAACTTACTGCACTGCTTATCTAAGTTACCTCCTTTTCTCAGTTTCGTTAACTTCGTTGATCTTGATTTGACGTTGATTGATCTTGCACACTGTAAAACTTGACAATTACGCATCCGGTACTACATTCTTTTTCACTACTTCATCAGGAACGGTCCAGCTGAAATAACCACAGGATTTTCTGTGAAATTGGTAAGCAATGAACAATATCTAACAGATTTTAGCGACCAGTGCGTCGTAACCGAACTTCACAGCGGCTGGAACGACACAGCGGTGCCAAGAAGTCACTGAATTTGTAAAGACTCTAAGGACTTAGGAATTCTAATGACTCTGATATATGCAAACTCACCCTAGTCACCTTAAAACATATCTTTTTTTCAATAGTCTGCATGTACTAGGGAAACTCTGAGAAACAGGCAGGTTGATCCCACATGAACTTAGTGAAAGTGCCATTACCAACCAATTAAACGAATCTTGCGCATTATTTGCACGGTTGAAGAGGCAGCCATCTTTCCACAATATCAGTACCGCATAAAAAAGTGAGTATTTTATAACGATGCTTAGCGTCTGAAATAATGGTTCAGTTTCTCTAACATTTTGAAAAATCTGATGGGATCTAAATAATTGGATCTGACGGGTTTTGACTTTTCAGTTGACTACCCCTGTAAAAGATGTAGTGGTTTCTATTACCTAGTCAGCTAGCTGACGCTATAAACGGAAATAACTGAGCGCAATAAGATGAAAACGATGTCTACAGACATCCGTAAATAGTGCAAGTGTATACGCTGTATCCAACGAATGCGATCCAAGAAGAAGTTCGAGCGAAGCTACGTAAGGGATAAAAGTTGCGGCACATGCAAAGAAACTAGGGTCTCACATTTGAAATACATCTTACGGGCTAGGTTACTTGCTATTTAATATTAAAATTACACTATTATTATTATTGTTTTCAACCGTATTCGAGAGGGAAAAACCTAATTTACGCCAAATAATATAAACAAATTTTTCCATAGGATTTACTCTCTAATACGATATTCAGTATAATTATGCAGTTGAATAAGGAAAGCAATCAAATTTAGCGGGAGCTATTTCCCACTGTTGCGTACTGTTATGGACGAACTATACAACACATCAGGGCTTGTTTGATAGGTCGGAGATCTTTCAACATTCTCCGACATAAATGACGGGATCGTCTATGAACATGCTTCCGGTGTTGACAGTTACCACCTATGCAACCTCCGCTGTAATACGAATGACTTTCTTGTAGAGGGGAACATCGAACCTCTCGCTCCTCCTCTATCGTCGCCTTCTGGCGCTATCTGACGCACTGTCAGCATCAAACAACCTTGCAGAAGCTGACAACCTTATATGCGTGGACCTTGTAGTTCCGCCGAACAGCCCCTTGCCTTGTGAACAGACCTTGTTCACAGTTCATTATGGCCAGCGTTACTAGAAGATCTGTCTACGCCGCGTATTGTGTTATTGGGTAAGTTAGGATAAATGAATAAGGCTAGTGTTTTTTAAGCATTCTGAACCGGCCTAAAGAGGCAGTTTCGGAAGATGATTGCATCGGCGACGCCTACACTTTTTTGCAGATGCTGGTGCAATATTTTTGGATATAAAATTGACTCGTTTGAGAGTTTTTAAGAAGTGGTTCACAGGTGACAGCAAGCCCCATCGTTTCAGGCAGACGAGGAGCATTTCATGAGATGGTAGCGTTTGAGGCGGAAACATTTACTAAGAGATCGCTCAAGCAGTCGACTCGCCGGCTCCGGAGCCGAAATAATTAGCTAGCCTGAACATTGCTGTCGACAAACATTATTACTTAAGACAATGACCGCGGGAAAGTGTGACGTTGCACTGTCGAATGTCTCGCGGCAGTAGATGGCCTGGCAGCGAGTAAATTAGTTTATGAGTGAAATACAGGAGAGTATTTCAAACTACTAGTATTGTTCTCTACTTGAACGTACGACGTCAGGTGACGGATATTCCGTATGTACAAAAGAACGTTCCAGTCAATATCGGCATAGCTACCATTTCATTTTGCTGTCTTCACGAGAACTATCTACAGGACGTTGAAGTGATCGAAGTTGTACGGAAACGAATTGGGCAAGGTACTGATGTTTGCGCTAAATGTCCGCAAGGGCTTTGTACGACCTTTAGCTGGCTAATTAAATGGTATACTTAAAACAAACACATGTTAGCATATTGCTAGTCGCTCACCTTAAGGTAGTATATCTTTCAGCCTATTAATAATTGATAAAGAACTACATCCATTTTTCGAGGCGGACCGTTAATGTTAGTTTCTTGCAGAAGCGTCCACATTTAGCGCTTTCTGCCCAAGAAGGAACGAATTTTTGCGAGGTCTTACAAATCCTGAAGTTCACAGGATAATCATCGTACGTTCAAATAAACGAAAAATCCGTAAAGGTTAAGTAAGATAAGCGAAGGCGCGATAATGTAGATCATTCTCTTACAAGGCTCGTTTGACGTAGTTCTTCAAAACGTAAGGAACTTCGGAATATATATTAGAACAGAATGACTGTACAAATAATCGGCGAATTCAAATTATTGTGTATAGTAAGAAGACATTGTAGAAGATGAGTGCAGTCTCCGCCGGGTAACTCGTATGACAGTATTCGAGTCGATCTTTGCATCTAAGTAATGGCGACTATCTTGTAAACGTAAGCAACGCGCGATAGCACGCAACATTTGATCTTCACTTAAACGCCGTACTTACTTTTCTAAAAATCTCCTGAAGAGTACATTGCTTTCAGTGCTCAGACGATCTTAATGTACTCATTGCTTTACATATATATAGTGGGACAGAGATGACTGCAAGTATTGCGTAACGTTTTTAGTAGTAATGTCTGGCTACCAGCAGACAGCAAATATGTATATATACATACTATACTGCGTATTCGATGCTTGTCGTAATTGTATAACTACACAAATATATTGTATAATGTGAAACAAATTGATTTTTGACATAGAGATATTCTCTTTGAAAAAAAAATAACCACGGTTCTCATAGCGCCGTTAATCACTCAACCGGAGCTAAGTAAGTTACGGGCGTTTTGTTATTTAGATGGAGTAGGGGGATGCTGTTATCTTAAGGCTGTAAGGCTCTAGGTTGTAAATGTTGGCCAAAAACTTTAAACTATAGTTATATAATTATAGCAGTTTTTGTAAATTATAAGCTCTATCGCTTATAATGTGTGGCTTTAATTAATAATATTGTTATTCTTTTCAAGCTGATGTTTAATTCAGGTTTCCGTGGCTTATTTTTCCGTGCATTGCTTCCCAAGTAAAAAGTTTGCCGTACCTTACACTTGATAGCTCAAGATATAATGGTACCATATATATATATATATATAATGGTTAAGTTGATCTGTCGTTTTTAGTTACCTATGACTATGAACTTCTATTGGTTGAAGTCAATTAAGTTCTACAAGAAACCGTTGCTAATGTGTTCTATCTCTAGAGAGTTCAGATTCTGAGGGTTTAAGTTCAGGGTGCCGAAACTACTGTAAATGCTATTTACGAGCAACGCTTGGGTCCGCGTTAGAATTGCGTATAATTATAGAAATTTCTGTGAACAGGAAGCTGCTTGCTTGACGTGATGCTCGTAGTCTTTATTGTTATTCCTCCTAACGTCTCGGAAATGGCCTGGTTTGGGGTGTAGCCTCTCCAGTATATCTCGTGTGGCAAAACTTGGATGAGATATCTCCAGATTCCAAAAGACCATCTATGTTTGTTTTTGTCATGCCCAATCGATCCGCCGTATGATGCTTTCAAACCCTGCCGAAATTGATATGATTGCTCTCGTTTATTTACCTGCCTATAGGGCCAAGTTGTCGAACATTACCACAGATTTGTAAATCGAAGTACAAATATGCACTGCTTTAATTTCCGTTCCAGTTTTTGGTCAGCGGTAGCATGCGGACGTGTAACACGGTATAATACTCTTATAGAAGTGTTAGCAGTAAGCCAAAAGGACAACAGATCAATCACTGAATCTGTTAACAGGGTGCCAACATTGAGAGCGCAGTTCGTATCGCTTTCCTTTACTCTTCTCGCTTTTAATCGCTCGTTGACCAATAGCCCGACGTTATATTTCGTTGAAAAAGCTATTTCGTTAACAACTGTCGTATATATATGGCGTTCGGATCACGCATTGCTTACTGCAGACTAAGGAGGCAATAAGAGAAACAATACGTTTAAAAGAGAGTATAACTAAACAGCATGAATACCGTCTAAGTCGATTCGGGTTACGTACCTCTCGTTCGTCATGAAATTTAGCAGTTTCATCGTGTTTTTTAGATTACTTCTATTGGTGTTATCTAGTAGTTCTTCTTTTCTGTCCTAAATACAGTCCTTCCTATATCCACTTTAAAATTTTTAACTCGGGAAAAAGAGAATCATACAAATTAACAAAAACAGCACGAATCAACAGAAAGAATACATTGCTGCTATAGCCATTATATCGTATAGATATTTATCTAGAACGATTATGAGTATGGTGCTAAGAAGATCTGTTTGGGATACGTTGATAGGTTAGGTACAGAAAAAAGAATATTTCATTTACAATGAGAGAGACCGGCTCATTGTTATAGTCACTGTGTTACCGCCAAGCCGTTCGTGACGAACCGTGCAAAATATTAGTAATTATACCTGGATGATATTATAATTTTTGTTCGTTAGATATTAAATGAAAGTGATAAATATACGTATAATATATTTGTGGTCGGTTCCTTACTGTTAGAGCACTTCTTTTAGTCGCTGGCGTTATTTATTTTATTTACATATTTATTATAATATAAGGTGAATAAAGTATGCGTTTAAAAAAATCGTTTTTGCTTCACGCGATCTGAATCGCCCTAACTTAGGACTATTCTGAAGACTCGATCCCACTTTTACTTACACAGTATACTGAATTCTGTATCTTATACTTAGAATTCGAATTTTTTTATCGTTCGATTTCGAATGTAAAATCCATATATCTCGTAGCGTTGACCTAGTGTATTTCGTCAGTTTTATGGTACGCTCAATTTTTTTGAGCAACAATATCTGTACATCGCCCTATGAACGCGCGTTATAATGAAAATCAACGAGACGATAGTGTTGTTCCCTTTCGAAGTGAGGTTGTTTGTGGAAGCTACCGAGGTAGTCTAATTGCATGTTCATGATGGTCTGTTTGACTGAAAATTGGCTTTATTTTTTCAGATGGGTCAAACATAGGTTCCGATTAAGTGTTGTCCCAGTTCTGCCAGGCCAAATGTACTCGGCGAGCCTAGACCCCAGTCAACTTGGTTGCTTGAACACGCATCACATAATCATCTATGACACACTTCACAATACATGAGATTGAGCCGCGACTTTTTAAATTAGGTGGAGTAGCAGACAGTTTTGTGTTGGAACACGATTTTTTCTTCGAGCACGAACAGGCCGGCTCTACGGTACAACATAATAACACGAACTGTGTTTTCACACAATTATTATTATTATTTCGTATAAACGAACTAATCCAAATATACGAAATAGTGTAAACTGTCGGTTTGAAGGAAATTTCAATCGGAGGGAGAGTCATAACAGTAATCTGGATAAAAATTATTTTTTGAGATTTTTGGCTCTATAGACCTTGCTTCTTGCTCACTTTGACGGCTCCCATCCACCTATTATATGTACCACATTGGCTTGAACGGAAGTTTATAACACTGTTTATAACAGCGTCTTTCATTTTTATCGTGCTTACAGCTTTTCTCTCATAATGACTTGTATTAGGAATATGTGGAATAGTTTGTTTACAATTACGATATTTCATATTTAGCATAAACCTAGCATTGCCGGTTAATTAGATCGCGGGCAAAATTTGTTTGTAAGTTCATGTATTTTAAAGTTATCACGTCGCCATCGAATCTGACGCCATGAAAACGGCGTATCGAAAGCATAACCAGAAAAGGTCTGCAATAATAGTACGTAGATACGGCATAGGGGTATATACCGAATGGGTATATAAAAATGTCGATAGGTTTAGTGATAATGGCACATGTTATGCCCTATAGGTCAATAGTCGCTGGCTGTAGAATGAGATACCTGTTCAATTTTCTTTATTAGATATGGTTTAATTTGTAGGATGTCCCAAAAAGTTTGAATGATTAACTTCAATTTTTATTCGCATTTAGCTTGAGAAAACATTTCGTAACGCATTCTCGTTAAATAATGTTTTTTTTAGATTTTCCGACATAGACTTCAACTTTAAAGTATCCCCACAGGGAAAAGTTTTAAGTTAGACTCGGCGAACCTACAAGATGTTCAATGGAACCTCTTCATTTAACGGAAGAAGTTATCCTTCTGTATTACGATCATAGCGCTTTGCTGGAAATAGCATTTACCATTTTCACCGAAACAGATCCTTGCAATACATTTAAGTAATTAGGACCGGTAATTGGGTTATTGAAGAAGGCCCACTCTACTTTTTGTCTACTTACCTTCTTTGTAAATAGATACTGCATAATATGTGGATCTACAGCTGGTCAATAGGTGCAATTACTAGAATGTGATTTTCTCGTTCCGAGCAAACTTTCCCGTAGGCTGCATTTTCTGTTCGCCTTTTTCCAATTCCATTGGCAAAGTTGTTTTCGGGCTAAATCATGTTCACGGGTAAAATGTATATTCTTAAAATATAACTTTTCCGTTTACAACGTTTTAGAATGCTGCGGACACTTGATCAGCTGAAGCCAAGTTCAAAACTTGATGGTTTTACTAATTTTTGAAGTATCTGGCTATAGCTTTCTAGCACTGTGTCTTAGGTGGTAAAGCTTGTTGATATTCGTGGTCTCCTAGAACGTTGTATAACATCCTGAGCAGTTCTATTTGTTTTAATCGTATTTTTTACTCAATTCGTTGCGAGACATATTGGTATATTTGCCTAAACCTCCTTTTGATCTTGTCTTCTTATCTCTGCTACATTTTCATACTCCTAGTAGAATTTTTCAATTAATTATCTTTATTCAAAAATTGGCCTTGATCCAATTATTATCTTTCATTGACGACACTCTGAAAGTGTCGGAAAAGCAAAGAAGACTTGTTAAGTGGTACATATATTCTCTAAAGCGCCCTGTATTTTTTTGCTAGAAGTTAAATATTCTTCAATAAACGTGCAGCTGTACCTCGCCTTGGAGTAACACTTGGAAGTTCTAATTGAGATTTATAAGTATTGACTATATTTCTCTACTTCCACGATGCATTCGGGATTACGTGGGTTGCGTTTTGATGGTGCTGAAGCTGGCGCTCCGTACACCTAAACTGCTATGCGATTACTTCTGATCACTGCAGCACGCTCAGACTTCCGGATGTTTTAGAAATAAGCTCACCACCAAAACAAGTCGCTGGATAGAAATTACTTGTTTTGATAATATACGCGAGCATATCCATATACATATAATAGCAACATGTAAACACTGAGAAGAATTTGAGGCAGGAATCTTCAGGGGGGACTTTTTAATCGACTTGAAATGGTTAATAACAGAGGCCTCGTTTCAGGAAGAAAGGGAAATGTATATGTTTGGCGGGAAGATTCCACCGCAGTACTATTCCTTTGAATTGCGTAGCAGACAAGCTAAAAGCTTAATATAGTATAAATTATTGGCCAGTTAAATAAATAGTTTAATCTTTATCACATAGCAACAAAGTGGTGTCCACCTTTTAGACATACGTTTTCTATTCATCCAACGGCTTCGTGTACGTAAATGTTTATTGCAGTACTGCCTTCCAATGACAAGTAGGATTAAATTTTTAATTTACACTTACTATTGTTGTACATCTTCAGCCCTATGCTCTACAGAGGACGAGGTGATATGGATATCTAAACGTTGATATGCCCAGAGTTCGCAAGATGCAGCTCGAAACACTAAAAGATATTAGTAAGAACTAACCAATTGGCAGCATTGCATTAGATTAGTATTATTAGCATTAGAAAAGTATTGTCTTTGATGAAAACTATCTTGACACTTACGAAGGGATTAGCTGTTCTGTAAGCCCTTACTAGGCCTTAATCATATGTACAACGAAGATATGTACACGTTTGTTGAATGTGTTTCCTGAAAAATTTCTTATGAAGAAATCGTACTGACCTGTCTATTTATCTATGCAATAGTGAGTACCCTAACTAACCTCACCACACGCATAGAAGGTGCTTCGTACACAACATTATGTAACACAACAAAATTAATTACAAATAAGTGACTCAGCGCTTCGAGAATTTATTCGAGGATACGGGCACAAGCGATCATTTACAAACATATTTTTCAAATGAATACTCAGACAATGTCATCAACGTCGCTTTCTCTTACTTCTTCAAAAGACGCACGTGAGTGCCATAGTATCCATAAGCACCGTATGGGTAGTAGCCATAACCACCGTAGCCGGTGTAGGGGTAGGCGTATCCATATGTGTACGGATAACCGAGGTAGACATGCTGTCCAGCGGAGGGCGTCACGAGTATAGCAAGTACAGCACAACACGTCATGGCGAGGACGAGCAGCTGAAAATAGCGATGAAGATTTAAATATATTCGTAATGTGTCGGCTTTATCATATCGCATTGCTAGAAGATCTGACATGTCTTCAGTAATGACTTTACTTACGGACACCTTGTACATGGCTGTTTCAACCAGTCAGTGGGCTTATACTTCACTGTGTCAAAATGGGTCGTTTCAATTGAATGTTTATAGCCAGGCCCAGCTTTTATACTTATTTAAGCCACGAGTCCGCGTTGATTTTTGTTTGTACCCGTCTGTTCAAAGCGTTCTGCATATTTCACTCACTCAGCTACGTGTAAATGAGTCGTTTGCATTTACTCTGTCAGTACCGACGGCTGGCGACGAACTTGAGCCGAAATACCACTGAAGTAAGTATTCAGGAATTATCGAAAATAACGTATGGTCCCCAAGTAAAATGCGCGATGAATCTAAGCGGGGTTTACGTCGGCACCTTCTCGTCACCAGAAGATCGTCGGCAACATTTTAGATATTTGTTGTCTTTACTACAATCCAACAGCTAAGACGATCGTCCAATTTACACGAGAACAATTGCAGAAAGCCCTGATAAAAACGAATTTGCATTGCGCTAGCTATAGTAAATAGTATAGGTATAGTAAATACATATTATCGGAGAACGATACAATCCCTCAAGTTCAAACAACTTTAGAAACATACAATCATACAAATTCTTCTCAATTAGACTGCGGTCTACTATACGCAGTCTAGAATGCAATCTCGATTAATAGCTATCGGCGTAGTATCGTTTCAACTGTGGAGCTGCCCCGTACGTTGAAGTTCCAGTTCACCGACCGGAGTTAAGTCCGATCGTTTAAGGCGGCGAAAATTGTCTCTATACACCGTATAGTATAATGCAGATACCACGTATTAAATATACTGGTAAGATACGGGGCACTTAAGTAAGCTGTTTACGCTGAAGTGTGAATTATCGCCGGTCCGATCCGTCGGCACATTTGCCTGTGACTCCATTTTGGCGAGGCGACAAAATCCGGAAAGGTGTACATCAACAATCTATTGTCAAACTAAAATTATCGTTTAATAAGAGTTTATTGTAGCACCTTCAACGCTCGACTTGTTCTACGAGGGTTGCTCGTTGTCATCTAAATCACTTGCAGACATATAGTGACATTTTTTCCCCCTATTTTCTCATACGTGTTAATACTATTTGCCCTATATCGAAACATCTAGCTTTTGCATAGTTCTAGTGTTAGCCGCAGATTGTCGGGTCAGTCATTTCACTGTTACTTTTCTCCCTTCAGATTACGGATGGCTCGAATTTGCGCCTGTTGACCAAGCTGACCTGGTACGAGAGATCTAGTCCTAAGACGAACGAAAGTAAAAAACAGCACGATTCACAAGTGATACACTTTAACGTACGCTTATGCTATGAGAGGTTGTCCCGCCATAAAAGATATCGCACCATCAACATCATCATATACACGACCGACATTATTAGTGACGCGGATGGCGGTCAATTACAAATCTATCTTCTAAAGAGGAGCAGCACTTTTCGGTAGTCTGCTTTAAACTAATGTGTATTCTGAGTAGTATCCATTAAACTTCAGTTTGTTATTTAATTTATTCAAATCCAGCGAAATGCCGCCTAACTCACTGCGTTCCTTTCTTTATGCAAAGTGACTCGCGTACACTGAGGCCTGACATCGAGGCGCTGCTTATACACGAGTGGATTTCACGAGTCATTTAGCACGTTAATGTAGCCTCTAAACCCCTCAACGTACAAAATCGCTACTTTCGAAAAAGGGGAAACTGTTCGTGTATGATGTGCTTTCAACTGAGCAAGTACGTATACTATAAAAGGGTAAGCGCAGGCTGTCATCAGTGATTTGGACCAGTGTCCATTTACGCATTGTTACTTATCATTGCGGGTACTTATCATAGGTACGTTGGCAAAAATCAGCTTCGTGAAAAAATTCAATATTATGTATTAGTTAGTTAGTAACGTATCTTCTGCATTGCTCTCGATGAAATAGTTGATATTTGACTTGTAAAGCTAAAAATCTATTTCAAAACACCGCACCTCGTCATGGAATATCTAGCTAATGAGAAAACCAGAGAAGACGCTAATATGACAGATGTGCCACGTTTTTGGCAAATCGAAAGCGACGGAACGACATCAGCTCGGTGGCATACCCAAGCGTTTCGTAGTTAAAAACGTTGTGTCAAGGCACGAAAAAACAAGGCTAGATAAAATTGAGGTAGAAATAGGTCGTGAGTTGTATATATATATGGCAAAATATATGGGCTTCCTATCAATTAGTAATAGGCTTGGATACTGACCGAACTATTAGTGTTAGTCGGTATACGCCACCCGGACTGTGTGTTTTTCATTCTCATTATAGAAACATCGTAAAAGTAAAGCCATGATTTGAAAATCTATAGATTAATAATAGGTAACGCTGATTAACATCTAAGGATATCTTTTCAGACGATAGGTCTTGTCTATAGTTAGTCTTAGTCTATAGTTAGGCATTGACCTATTACAAACCGTATAAAAAATTTCTCGAAACATGAATATTTCATTAATTATACATAGTTTGAACTCGATCAAATTGCCCTCAGCCCTGATCATCTATGTAATTGATGGTAATAGAAAATTGATGTAGAGGCATTCTAAGTCATAATGGGTGACTGAGGAAAACCAGGATAATAAATTTTAATAAACTTTAATGTTTAGACATGATAAAAATAGCGAAAGCTTTGTCAAGAATAATCAGTTGGATATTTCACACGAACATATATTTTGCCACATACATACACTATGAGGTAAGTGATTAGAAGTCAACGACCAACGTTATTAATGGTCTTGACACATTGAACATGTTCCCTTATAATACAAAAGTTTTCAATATGGGGTGCACGCATTTGATTATAAGGTCCAGTCTTATCACGATGCTAGGCCATGCTAAATCGTAAGATTCAATAAAATAGGTGATCAACTTTTGTTTGTTAGCTGTAAGGAACGCGCTGTGGTTTTTTCATTGCAGGTTTCTTTATTTCGCTTGCAAACGTTTGGGTCACTCCTCTTTAGCGCGGGTACCGAGTTCAAATCAGGAAATGAACTCTCTATGAGCGCCGTCCTAAAAGGCCTTATCTGCTGTAAGCTCACGAACAAATATTGAACACCGCCGATATATACACGAAAGGTAATGGATGCATCTGAGCGCCCTTTGATCGATCGGATTCTCCTCCGAACGAATCTGAGCCCCGATAGAGTAACCACGCCTCAATTCATGCTGACGCACAGCCTAACGGACACCGGCCTCTGCTAACCGAAGAGAAACGTTTTTGCCGTTTTCCAAATGCCGTCCAAATGGTGTCTACGATGTGCCTCGCTTTCTGGTTTTTGCTAATCTCGTAGATATGGAACAGTCTTCTAACGAAAATTATTGCAAATCCGCCGATGATCGAAAATGGCTATTAAATATAGCCCGAGCTAGAATTTACTAGAGGTTAACGAAAATTAATATAGTTAAATAGGCTTTGTCTGAGCTGCCTTCGACGAAATCAATGACGGTACGACTGTCAACTCGCACTTTCATAGGAAGCAGCAACAACTGGTGTTTGTCTTGAGTCTACGTTTGGCTGAGAGAGACGGAGTGCGAACCTTTGGGCGAGGTAGCGACCCAACCCCGATTCTACATCCGAATCCAAAATTCAATGTTCGTACGCGTTCGTAAAAGTCTTCTAGGATATTTCGAACATTTCTGACTAGAGACGACCGAGAAAAAATGGCATTTATGAAATAGGATATTGTCAAACGAGATCGTTTAGTTCATTTAGTAAACGGCCGCTAGCCAGCTAAAATTATCACTGATCTTAGCACCTAAATAACTACAACTAAAATTGAACTGGGGACCTCGTCTAGATACGATTTTTCTAATATATGAAATAATGATTTGAGTAGCGAACCGATATAGGTGTATTAGTTAGCTAGTGTTCATGCTTTTAGTTCGTTTGGAGTTTAAAAAACATAGAAAACCGTGTACATCCGTAAGCAGTATAATACGAGCCCACAAACTAATTCTAGCCCCGAACAAACAGTGGCCGCCTATCAGTGATATATTTAGCTGAATATTAAAAGCGAACAATATGGCATGAATGTGTGCAATGGCAGCTTTTTTATGTTCTTGAATCGAATTCTCGTACGACCGCCCGCCAAATGGCTTGATTACGTCCGCTAAATGGCGCTGTTGGACATATACGCCATACGGAATACAGTGTCCGGTGACACTAATCGTATTCAAAATTTCCGGTACACATCGTTGACGTTTATGACAGTTTAACATATATTCTATATACAATTGCTTGGATCAGTTGTATTCGATGGAAACAAATAAGAATTGAACGTTCGCTTATACCAATTAACCTAACCTTAGTTTATGTGTTAGGGGTGTAGTATATCTATATCGCAGGACGCTACCGTCGCTCCTGTTCTAACTACCGGCGTGGACAACTAGACGGTGTACTTCAGCAATAACTTTTTTGATCAGACCAACGTCAGTTGACAGGCACGGTTATATAGTGAGATGTTTATCTTTTAGACATATTATACAGCACTAATTAAGGGGTTTCATAGTGATTTAATTGAAGTGCTGTCATTTATTAGAAAGTAGACTCGATACAATATCTTTAGAAAGCACAGAGATTATTTTCAGTTGTGTTCAAATATGTAGTTAATAAACGTAAATAGTATGTCGCTTGCAGAAAATAAGCAGAAACAGAAACAGAAGTCCATGATGCAAAAAGCTTGTATTTATTATATTTGATAATAAGAACACATGGTTCGGCGTAAGCTACACGTTGTGTGTGCACTATGACTGTGTGCACATTTGGCACAGTCGTCACTTGTGGTGACGTAAAGCACACCTGTATGTACAGAGAGAGAGAGAGAGAGAATACTTCATAATGTATCCTTGACATATAAACATCATTACCGTTATATCTATATAAGAAGGCAGGTAATTGCCGCTGGTGTGTAAAGTGCATATATCAAATCTCCTTTTCTAAGACCAGAGTCTAATGTTAGCCACGAGAGCATTTTTTTTTAAAATCCATCAGACGCTCTCGAATTTATGGCAGGGCAAAACAAATAAAATGGTCGAATTTATTCGTAAGCGTCTTGGAACGAATTAATCGTGGAACAATATATATAAGACAATGTAATTTTACAAACTCAAGTCCAATAATAACTCGATAATAACATGTTTGATCCTGTTTGTTTATTTCAATGGTTAAATTTGCTTATCAGTACATTTTAAAATATGTGATGCGAGGAAAGTTGGGCACCATTAGCATTTTAAGTAGCGGGAATCAATAAGTAAGTAACATTGACGTCAAGCTATTCTCGAGCTGGTTAGCGTCGGGATATCATGGTAGCTGTCAAACGTTGAGAAGAGGCGCTACTTCTTGAGAAGGTACGCCGGTGAAGCGTAATATCCGTATGGAAGGTAGCCATAATTACTGTATGCAGCATATGGGTAACCATAGGCATGCCCGTATGGGTATCCAGAATAGACATACTGGCAGGTTGCCGGAGCCCCAAACATTGCGACAAGCAGTGCCAGAACTAATACGAAAACGAACTGGAATATAAAAGTCATGCTCCACTTGAATATTTAGCTCCCTAGATTAATCTCATCATTTTATTGACAACTTACCATTAAAAGGTAAACAAAAATCACTCAGATTAGAGTTGATGTTATCTAGTTGGTCTGTTTAATCGCTCTTTCTTTCAGATACGCTTCTTTCTAGCGACCCTATGCATTCATAGCAAACCTCAACACCGAGGTAAACGACATCACCGTTGCGAAAATAAAATGAGTCTTCTTAACATATAAAACCTGCCAAACGATCTCGGTGAATTCTATATTAAAGAGGAAGCTACAAGACTCCACTCACGGATAACTTGAGCATGGCTAGTTGAAGATATTGTTTCTGTCGCTTAATCGCAATCGTTGATCAGGCTTGTGCTTGTTGTTGAAGCTAAGGGAGGCGTAATGACTTTTATATTCATCACCACAAAATGTCTTTCTCAGGGCGACTGAAGCCTATGAGTAGCGTTCTTCATGCCCTTCCTCACATGCCCTTTCTAGTACTGCCAATGACTCTGTCATCGCATATGGTGATATTTACCAATCAGAACAAAATGTCGCTTTAGAGTAAAATTTCGGAAAGGTCTCTTGCCCTTGAAAAATCTGTTTTGACTAGCCTACGTAGGGCTCTGTTCTATCAAAACAGCAGTGATTATATGAATAGTCACATCTAGCTTTTGTTTGCTGGGATTCAGTATTTAGTAATTACATATGTAAATTCGGTCGGAATACGCACCCCGTAATGTAGCAGCGGTGCTTCCGCTTGCCCTATTGTAAGGACGCAGATTTGTCTTCCGCATATCCTATGAGGTAGGCAGTGCGCAGTGTCGTTAGTGGCCTAGCCTCGGGGAATTTTTTTCCAGTCTTAGTAAACATTGAAGACTATACAATCATTCTATTGCTACGGGCAAGTCTTAAGAGAATGAAATCGAACGTCGAGAAAATTATTATATGGAAAAACACTGCATACATAGAAACAGTTTTCATCAAAACGAATGTAGCATTAAACATTACTAGAATATGTTATCCAAAAGTTGTCAACAGTGAACAAAAAGAAGGTCATTTCTATAGAAGTCTTATAAAACTGACGAAGCCGATCAAGCGATTTTATCTAAAGCATATAAATATAGCTATTTCGACTAATTTCCGTCTTCTAGCGTTACTTGGTCGCTTGTTGAATTCTCCTCGATCCCGCCGAAGACCTTTGTTTTTTTTTATGTTCAACTATACGCGCATCTGTTTAAGCACGAGAACGACGAATCGCTCTAACCACATGCGCAGATAGATTGTTTACTTTCTGGAACTTACTGAAAAAGCTCATACAGTCTTGCGAATATATTTTGTACAGTCAGGCCTGGTTCAAACCTGTAAGGACACATACGCAACTATTGAGTTTGTCGATTTGTTAACAAACCTACTTATCTTTGTAAAGTTTCAAGTGGGAAATAAAGACTAAAAGAAAAGATAGGTTCGCTTAGATAATACTAATAGATCAATCGACCAAAAAAGAAATCTTGCACTACTTAGCCGTGGCGCTTCGAGGATCTATTTAGGCATCACGATTGAGGACAACGCCCAAGAACTGACAAGAGTATTTTGCCGGTGAACGGCTTTGTATGACACTCTAACCGAGTGAATCTTCTTCCACGTGTTCAGAAAATAGGTATGAGTGTCGTAATATCCATAGTTTACGTACAGGTGGTAACCGTCGTCAGCATAACTGTTGGCGTACGGATAAGCACAGTATCTGGCAAAAAGTGCTGCAAGGACGACAAATACAAAATAGGTAGCTAGGCGAGTAAAAATAGATAAAAGAGTAGCAACGACAAACTCTGGTTGATTTTACTGCAAATTGCTTTTTCATAGAACATTTCTGTGAAATTTACTATTGACTTAAGCCCGGCTGCTTCCAGTATATCCGAATTAACCCTTTGGCTTTCGTCTGACATGGCTTTTCTATTTGTTTCAGGGTTCTTCTAGTGATACCAGTACACTATCATGGTGTGCATGATACCAAAGAGACATCATGGGAGTGCTCAAAGGAAAACGTTGCTCTAGCCTACTGGTTAAGACAAACATTTGAAAATAAAAAATTCCGCTATTCTACTTCCGGTCATATATTTATTTTTTAAATCCCCTATTAACACATAAATATATAAAGTGGAAGGGTCGCCATATATCCATACTGCACAATATAACAACGTACAGGTTTTTTCGCACGTTTTCATAGATTGGTATTGGTCAATGAAAATCGAGATAGAAGAATTATTGTAAATAACAGGTTATACAGTAACTTAGAATAAATAACTTTACATATCCTGTTCGTAGTTGAGTGGCGGATTATCGACCCTAAATGGCTTCAACGACCCCAGCATGCCAATGGCACCTCGATGCGTTCCATATTTCTAGGTACGTATATTATCATTACAAATTGATCACAACTTAACTTTAAGTAAAATGAATATAGAAACAATCAATGCGATTTCGTTACATGTGGTCGCTATGGAGCATATAGAGATCACCCCAGAAAAAAGTGCCACAAACCCAGAAACGTCTGGGTCGTTCAAGTTCATCACGAAATTCTTTGCATCATGGGACATAATGTTCTTCAATTGACGAACTGCGCATATGTTGATAAAATTTTGGGCCATCACACCCAGCAAAACCCTTAACTACCTAAAGTTTAATAACTCAGTTTTCTTTATCTTTACTCGGATGCTACGACCCCTTATCTCTCCGCTTCCTATTAAAAAACAGATTTAAGCTATGGAAAGCTATGGAATATAAGTTTCGTGTTGCTAAAAGTAACCATAATAATAATAATGTTACGGCCGGCCGAAAACTAAGCCTTGTCTACGCAGTTAAATGTATCATCGCTAATCTGAACATGAACAGGGTACAATATGACCATATTGGATATCATTTGACTTCCACTTTCTCTAATATACATAAATGAATAAGTGTAGTCTCTCATGGGAGTATTCCGCTATGAATATACACATACGGGTAGAGCCAGCTGACAGGGTTACCACTCAGTGGCAAACAAAAGGTAAGTCACATGGACATTTGCAACGTATGATACAAGTGTTAAAGATAACGCAACATAGGGCGCGATGCGGATCTGAACAAGTGGCAAGCTGCTTTTACTATATTTACTCTAGCCTCTAGCCCCCTAAAGGTTCAAACAGGCCCATCAAGAGGCCATATCGCTAAGATACAAAGGGTTTATATCCACGAGGTTAGCCAGTCATACATGATACGTTCCTCGAAATAGTTGGACGTAACTTACATTTATTTAGTTGATATCTACAATTTTTTCCAGCGTCACATATCCCAACAAGGCTATTGTACAGTGGCTGAGTCGAATGTTTGATCAGACCTGTACGTGAGCTTCAAGAAAACATACGTCACTCAGTATGACTCACCGACTCGTGCATGACTGGAGAAATAGACTGGGTCTGCCGCTCATCTGTACTGTGCATTTGCTGCGTGCGCGAGCAAATTGGGATATGACCTCATCACAGGTTCCCATCTAGGTTCGGCTAAATAAAACCAATTTCTGCTCTTGGAAACTCGACAATATTCGGTAGTAGCATTCACAAAGCAAATTAAGCATCGGTCTGATTTTTTTGTGATGCTCCCTTTGTTTTTGTTGACCCTTAACAAGCATTCGTTTATTATTATTATAATTATTATTCGACAACATACTTGCCTACCTCACTGCATATTGCTTCAGGAGAGCGAGGAAAAAATACTGTGAAAAAAAGAAACTAGAATAATGACCTCTAGTAAATGATACACTTCATTGTTTTATCAGACGTCTTTTTTCTCACGTATGTGGAATACCAACATACACAGGCAGAATTATATTTGCAGAGATAGAAACTCGAACACGTCGAGGTAGGACTACAGTCTATAAGGGTCCGTTAGCACTGTTGTATCATCTTGTTAGCTTGTTTTAAACAAAGGCCTTCTATTACATATCTCCCTTCATAGTCCTATCTTAAACACACCTGGTAAGGCGATCGGGTTCACTCACACGCCGTTCAAATAGCAAAAATACGCTTACAATAGCAGATTAAATTTTATTATGAAGCGCTTTCATATCTACAAATGGGACAGTATACATCACAGCTGGGAAAGTCTGGGATATTCACGTGAAAACATAATTATCTCTATCTAGTTTACTATTGATCGATTTTTGAGCCCGTCCGTGTAAGTGCTGTTTGATAAAGCTTTAATGCTTGCCCGTTAGAGCGAATATTTGTTCAACAAGAGAGATAGCAAGTTGTGCAACCCATTTAACACATCCTTAATTCTTGTAGAAGTGGGTTTATGCGACCGGTAGTTTCATGTGAGATCCCCTAAGCCACTATAATCTATATTTAGTGTTGAGAATAGACGCATTTCTTATACTGATGGTTACTTGTACTTGACTCGATAGAACCCCGTGAACGCGGAGCTTGAGTCTGTGTTGGTTTCAAGTGCACTTCACTGTTTCAACGCTATAAACATATTTTTGTCAATGGTTGCAAGTTGCAGACGCAATAACTCAAGTAATCCTCATTTGGAGATAACAAAAACATTTCAAAGTCCACCCGTGGCTGTGTTATAGATCAACAGGCCTTTCTGACTGTTTTCGTTTTTTATTTATTTATAGATTTCTTATTGTAGAGTGATTCGTGTTCTATCTGAAAAGCTAGTGTGCATAAGTGTCGCTATTTTAGCACATATCGCTCAGCCAACAAAAATACCGAATATATCATCTGAATCAACTGTTTCACCGTGAACTAAAAAGCTTTGAATACGGTCCTTATTTTATGCGGCCTGTGGCAGTGCAAACGGACAAAAACATCGAAAAAGCAACAAGAATCACCGAAATCCTTAAAGAGCTTGTAGAGGAGCTGGACATTTGACCAGGATCGTGTCTGACCATTTTGAACAGAAAGTCATCGGCGGTTATCTAAACCACGTTTGCGTTCTCTCAACCAGCTGGCAAGCACGTGATCCTTACGCTGTCGTGGAATCGAACCCGGCTAATTGGGTCGCATTCTTCTGCAGATAGCAGGTCTGAGACCATCGAGGAAATCTACATAAAGCTAAGCGTAATATCAAGATTTATTTACAAGGTTAAGTTCGAAAATTGTTTAAACTAGTGGAAAAACGGCGGTATACCTGTATTGATTGGAAAATTGTTTCGAAGGGAATAATTGGCATTTGGAAGATTGAGTTATTTGTAGCAGAGACAAAGTTAAACGCTCCGTACTTTTACCAGTCTTGATGATTAGATAATATACTTATTGCAAGTCCTTATGCTTTGTACGGCCTCACGGTGTTAACGAAGGAGAAGCCTGCTCCAATACGGCTGAGTAGAACTATCCAGAACTCCAGTATCT